ATGATGGGCGTAGGCAATCATTATTGTCTCCGCTTAAGCAAGCAGTAAATATTCAGGGCTGATTTCTGTGAAAGCAGAAGCCATAATACAAATCAGCCTGAACAGATTTTCATTAATGATTGAGGCGATTGAACAGATCGCAATCACAGTCAAACACGGCGGGCCGGTAAAGTGAGATCTAGTGATTAAATGTGCAAATGGCCTTGTGGATCCATACTAAAGATTTTAAGACAACTATTAGTCTAATTTTAAAATGGTTTCAATAATAACTTTCTGATTTAAACTGCAGGTGTCTGAGTTCATGGATTCTTTCCTTTAGCCACTTGTACTCGTCTCCACACCCCAACAGACCTTCGACCTTGGTCCTTCCTGCCTGACAAAGGTGCCAACGATGGGGAGTTAGGCATGGGGAGGAACATGCCAAGGAGGTGCCCCCTCCTCCCCTCCCCCCTCTACCCACCCTCCAGAACCATTTGGACCACAGGGAATGGGTTAATCACATTAGAGGCCCAGAAGAGAGATGGGAAGTAGACAGTACCGTGACAGCCGGGGTAGCACTGGCACGACTAATCCCGTTAGGCCGAGGAAAAAGGGGGACGCCATCGCGCCTACAAGGCTGAGAAAGAAAAAAACATTTTCCCAGGAATGAGTTCACCTGTATGGTAACACAGAGAAGTTGGCCTGTTGATGCCTATTAGAAGAAACAATTGCACTTGGCACATACAAATGTTTTTTTCATGCTGGGCACCACTTTATTGTCAGCGCGTGAAAAAAAAACCCCAGCAGCAGACAGTGGCATCGCATGAGATCCTCTTTCATGCCACGGTGAAGCAGTCCCTTTCAACCCGGTGCTATCAGTCTCCCAAACAGTGAGAAGATGGGGAGGGGTGCTGTAAGAAGGATAGAGCTTACTTCATCTGCCATTGTAAGTGCACCCGAGTTCAACCTTAATGTAAACCTTTGCAGGCAGGATATGAATAGGATGCTCTCTATAAAAATATATCCTGCTGGTTAATCCGGCAGATGGCCACAGCGGCGGACACTACAAGCGCGGCTGGCCACTGCAGGGGTAACGGGGAACGTCCGATCAGCAGCCACTTGTCAGCCTGGGGAGATGTGGAATCAAGATTCTTAACTCCCCTTAGCAACGCTGGGAAACAGAGCCGTCAGTTTGGATCCATCAAGTTTCTACTTAATCTCGTCCGCCACTTTTTTCTCTCCATTTTCTCTTTTTTTTTTTGTATCTTCCCCTTTTGTTGTGGGGATTAAGCCAAGTGGTAAAACAGTGATTTAATGATCTTTCCATGGCTATGTGCACCACTTAAACCATGAGACAAACAAGCTGAGGCATTCTAAGAGTCACCCCCTCTAAAGGCGGCTGCTAAGGAACTGTGAGGCTTTTGATACGGCATTAAGCTCTGGCTGATTATTTTTCCCACTGTCGTGGGATGTGCCGCGCTCTGCTATGGGAAAATTGAAGGTTTTGAGTTTTGTAAAGGCCCATTGTAAACAAGATGAGAAGAAAACAGTTGGATAATTATTTGATGATCGCTTTAGAATAACAAGTTATGGTGAATTTGAATGATTTGTTTATGCAGGAGAGAAGCGCTTGTGTTTCATTATCACAATAGAAAATAATTTGAAAATGAGATGCATAAAACTATTTTTACAGACACAGTTGTGGTTAATTATTTCAATTAATTGAATACACTTTCGTGATAAACAAACTCCCAAACAATACATGTGATACAGTTGAAGTCCCCCCAAAAAAAGCTAGGAAGTGGACATTGAATTGTTATTATTAATATCATTATTGTAGGCAAGTTCAAGAATGAACTTTGAGGCTTAGCTTTTTGGCCACAAGGATGAGAAGTTCTAAAACTATAAGTGCACAGGATGAAATGATAACAGTTATTGAGATAACATGAAAGAGCAAACTCCCTCCGCTTATGAAGACCATGTGAAATGGTTGAAAGCTCTGAAAAAGGCTAGGACCTTGATTTGGAATTGTTTAGTCATATTCCCAAATACCACAGGAAAATGTGTTTAAATGGAACTATATTCACATAAAGTTTTAAAGATTTTGAAACGTTTTTATAAACGCGTTTATGGATTATTCGGTTCTTTCAAAAGTTCATGTCTTACCTGTGACGTCTGGTTGTCTGAGGTGGAGAGTAAGACTCAAGTGCTGCTCCGTAACTTCATCGCTCACACGGCTGATCAGCAGCAGGATCTATTCAAAGAAGAAACATATTCATTAAACCTCTTCGTGAAAGCCTCATATCATAGGTAGCCTAACAAATCAATGAAATAAACACATTACATAGACCGATGGGGCAGCTCCTGTCAAAATTGAAAACGTATTTATAGAGATATGAATCCTATTGGGCTGCTTACAACTGTCTTTAATCACATACTTAGTCATGTTTACAATCATCTAAAAGGACAGTATACGTATATAACTCACAGATAAACTGCTCATTCACTTGTGCTATACCAACAATAACCAAAAGATGGCACCAAATGAAAAGTGAAGGTGAAGAGTATCAGCTACAGATGACAAGTAGTGTAAGTTTGGCACCTAATGACAGATACAGTAAATAGATAAGGTAAATACTACAGCCCTGTGTCATTTTATGATTTAACTTTCCTTTTCAGGGAAGTTTAAAGGAGTGCTCCAACCATTTAGTATTTCCATAAAGTTAGGTGACTCACAAAGGACAGATAAACAAAAATGTCAAAATCAAAACAGAGGAGGCTGAGATGTCCTGACTTGTAGTCCGTAGTATGGATCAAGCACAAACAATGCTCCAAACTACACTTCCCATGTTGCAATTTATACCGTGAACCTTAATTACATTATATATCATCATCAGGGTTATTTTTTCAGATTCTAGAGAGCTCCCTCCAGAGCCACAGAAGACATACAAGTACTCTTTGTGGCAAGTAAACTAAACTTTAACTGAACTTCAATAAATTGCCGGTAAACGAGCATCAGGGCTGTTATGGAGACCTACTTTATAACTCCAAAGACTAAAGCTGAATGAAATGTTTCATGACTGCCAGACATGTATACCTCAAGTAAAGGGAACCTGAATCTCTTCTTCACCTGTGGGTGCTCGTCTGATTATTCCCTCTTTGCCAATGCATCTCTTTAAAAGTAACTCAGGATTTCAACAAAGAAACTCCACAACACTTTCTTTTGATACAGACACACAGCGCTGAATGAGATTATAATTCTAACCTTAAAGCTAAACATGAAAGAAAAACGTGAGTGTTAAGGATTTACACTGATGCTCATGACACAGCTCAGTGTGTGAGTACGAGGCTCACTCACTGGGTAATAACCGACAAGGCATTGGCAGTGATCGGTATGGAGTAGGACTAGAAAGCCATAATAGCAGGACAAATATCAGAGGAGAGGCCGTCTGGGCGTCTGTGCGTAATGGATGATAGAGGTGTTAGTGTTTGGGCCGGTGCGCAGTAAGTGGGTAAGCTGGTGGTGTGATACCAGCAAGGTCAATGATGGTGATAATGGGGAGGGTAAGCACTCTATTGGGGTTAATACTTCTGAGCTGGCCAAGAGATTATGGCACTGTATAAAATATGGAAGACCCCTCAGGGAAATGCTTCGCTCCTATTGCTCAACAGCAAACTGACGTCATCAGGAGTACATGTACCAAAACAAAACAGTCAGAAATAGAGAATATCTGAAGTGTTTTTTTCACCATGACACTGACATTCTGTAATCTGTTTTGTTGTATGATACGTGTACTGTGTGTACGTTAAAATAAAGCTTTGGAGCTACAATGCAACGTGAGGATGCTCTTCTGTTTCTTTCACTGTATTTAATGAGAAGAGTATGCAAGTCGTTTTCTGCATCCTGATTAAAGTCACAAGCTCAAAGTGACAACAGAAAGTCATCAAAAGCTTTTGTTATCGCTCCAGTTGAAGCTTGTCTTCATGAATCCCTGCCTTTTCATAGTTGAACATTGAACATGCTTTTTTTTGCAGAGAGTTAGACAAATGGATGCCTCTCTCACGCCTGTATGCTAAAGTTAAAGTGGAAGCCGGTTAGTTTATCTTATCTTAAGGACCGGTGGAAACAGCTAGCCTGGCTCCTCTCCAGAACAGCCTCCAGCAAAGTCTCAGAGAAGCCAAAATCTGTGTACACCTTTAACTTTCTCTTGATTTTCTAACTTGTATTTTGTGGGTTGTACACTTCTTGTTTTCATCCACTGTCCCTTCCACCCCTCTTCCCTCCCTTTCTCCTTCCTGTAATGCACTTTGTAACTTATGTGAAAAGTGCGATGTAAATTAACTTGTGCCTAAATCCCATCACCAATGGAGATGACATCCAGATAGTTGCATTAAACAATGTCTCTGTGAAACAAGCAATACTGTAACTGTAACGTAATGAGTATAGTATCAGGGCGTACTAAGATTTAAACTCTCATATCTGGGTTACACTAGTCCCTCCCACAATCCAGATGATGCCATCTGTGAGAAAAGAGCAAATCAAGTGTTGTCCCAGCTGCGACTGACATACTGATGTATATAAACTGAACATTTTTCGGTTTGGTCCGACAAAATAAGGAATTTTAAGACTTCATGTTAGGCTGTGGAAAAATTGTGAAGGGCATTTTCCCTATTTAGAGACTTTTGCAGCCTTTACTTGATTAATTGTTACTATTAGAAATAACCATGTCAACATCAAATTCATAGAAGGCCACAAAATACTTATATTCATAAAAATAATCGGACCAATACATCCAGGAATAAAACACTGGATGTCAGACGGCTGGCATGATGACTGTGATTGGATGAAGGGAGTAAATCTGCTAACCAAATCCCTTAAAGCTCAAGCTGTGATTTGGACCAGAGAGATTTGTTTTCAGAGTGAACTCCGCCCTGCAGAGATGACTAAAGTCAACGTCCAACACACGACTGCAGCAGGCCAGCCAAGGGTTTGTTTATTTTGGATAAAACAGCATGGATCCGACTTGTACTGCTCCCTCCCGGCGTGCTGACGTGAAAATAAACGTACGTCGAGCCTACTGACCCACCGGCCACTCTATGGTAGGTAAACGTGAGATACAATACATAGTAGTATAATAATAGTGGGTTTATTTATAGCATCTTCTAGTGTCGCTGACTTATTAGATATCCCATGTTTCTGTTTACGTGCATGATTGAGTTACCTGCTGTTAGACTGTCAAGAAGAACAAACTGCTTCAAAAAGCCACGAGAGCTGAGAGGAGTGTCGCGCCAGCATGTTGTTAGTAGCAAAGTGCGGTGAACGCTCACGCGGGGAATTATGGGAAATTGACGCTCGTGTGCCACCATGAAAACACTTAACAATAATACATTTTATTTGTATGGTGCTTTAAAAGGTACTCAAAGACACTTGACATGATAAAAACAGATAAAATAGAAGTAATTACAATATAATTTCATTTTCACAACAATTTTGCATATTCATAAATTCCGTTTTTTTGTGACTGGGGAGGAGCATATATAACTTTAATAATTTTAATTGGACTTTTGTGGGGAATAATTAGGCTATTCAAAGAGCATTTTTCGAACATGTTTTAGGGGGGATACCTCACATAGTTAATAGCGAAAGCAGGTTTTGTTTGTAAAATGTATTTCTTATTTCTGCCATTGCTACATTTCAAATGGGGACCAAACTGCTTGTTCGTCTTCAATTGATAGACGGGTTGAAACTGTCTGTTGACACTGATGCCACTGAATGTCGACGTACACTGCTGTCCTAGAAACCAAGAAAATCACCCCAAATGTATGACTTCATATTCGGATTAATAGTTGTTAAAATGCTAGAATGTGAACTTAATTTTGGCTTCAATGGCTCCAAACTCTCACTGCCAATGATGCAGCTCCATATGTAAATAAAGATTCAGCGTTTCTGTCTGACTTGTTTGCCATGGTGCACAAAATATGGTAATTTTGGTAAGTTGATGTTCTTATTGGTACTAGTGTGCTGGCTCTTCTCAACCTGTAATTATTGGCAATCACTCAATCTCTTGTTTTAAGTCCATTTAATACAGGAGTGTAAAGTGACTTGCACATAAAATGAAAAACTGCCACATCTGTAGTCTTCACACTTCTATTATCACAAAACCCCAATCAAAACAGCTGTGATGAGCATGTTTAATCTTTGTTTTTAAATGGCCAATAACATACAATAGCTGTACCACTTTGATAGGTGGTGATAAATTGTGACATTCAAATGCAAATGTAACAAAAATCAGGAAAGGTTTAATATTGATGCTGTCCATTACACTTTTTAAAACGAATATGATAAAATAATTATAACAGTCTGCTGACTTTCATGTTAATTTCAGTGAGATAAAATAGACAATTACAACAGTATTTAAAGAATATACTATTTATACATTTTATTTGTGTTTATTTGTATTTGAAACCTGTGAAATTATAGAGGAAATACTGAAAATCATTAACGACACAGTATCGGTTGCATGCATTAACCGGGATTCAATGCCTAAAGCATGGGTCAGTTTAACCTGAATTTATTTAGACACCTCGTTTGACACACTTGATGTAGCTTTGTGAAGATGGTTTAATGTGTCCATAGATGTAGCCTGCAGGTCGTACTGTAGTATACAATGAGCTGTCCTCTGTTCTCCAGCAGGTGCTGTGGCCGAGATGTGAGAGAAGGTCATGCCTTTGCTCAAGAGAAACATTCAGCCTCGGCACCTGTGCCACGGTAGCGTGGCTGATGGGATTGGCAACGAGCTGGAATGTGTCACCAACAACACGCTGTCCGCCATCATCCGCCAGCTCAGTAGTCTGAGTAAGATCACAGTTAAACTCATATTCAGTTTGTATCACAGCATGTTCAGATGCTTGTTTAGTGTGAGATCATTACAGGAGGGAAGCTGCTTTTGAACAAATCAACTCAAAGGAGCATAAAACAAGTTCTTCACTGCGTTAAGAGTGCTTACATTTCCTTGATCATTGGAAGGTGATTATCAGAAAATAAAATACCGTATGACAGTTTTGAACTTTAACTTTTAGCTTCTAACACGCCAAAAAAGCACGCAAATCATTTATCATTTTGTAGACATTATTATCCAACACTAGACAGTACTGACATCTATCAACTGTACACTCAAATCAGCCAATTTGTACAGAAGCGGAGTGCTTTGAATTGTTAATGATGTATGGTAATGTCTATATAAGCATTGGTTTGCTTGTGTGTTAAGAGTTACAGTTTGTGCACTGAAATAGGTGAAACAGATAGTAAAATGTGGAGGGAAAGACAATTTTGGGAAGCAAATTTACTCCTGGACATCTGGCCGGTGTGTGTGTGTGTGTGTGTGTGTGTGTGTGTGTGTGTATTTAGTGAAGTTACAGGAGCTTAGAGCTTACTGTAAAGCTTAGTACGGGCAGATAAGATGGAGAGTGGGTGGGCGGAGACACAAACATAGGCTGTCTAATGATAGATTCCACATTAAGTGGATCAGAGCTGTTTGACGTGTGCCATTAATGCTGTTGTGTTTGCATGGACCAAACACTTAATGTGTATAATCCAGAGAACTAGAGAGCATTCAGAAATGTACAAACATAAGATATATATTTTCCTGTCTCATGCAATATGCTGCACTTATTTCTTTACCTCAGAGGATTGAAACACCTTTCTATGTATTGGCAGCTTCCTTACCTTCACTCCTGGTTCTTTGCCCCTTTTGTTTTTGCAGGTAATCATGCAGAAAATGTTTTCGGGGAGCTTTTTAACGAGGCCAACACTTTTTACGTGCGCGCCAACTCACTCCAGGACCGCATCGACCGCTTGGCCGTCAAGGTCACCCAGCTGGACTCCAGCGTGGAGGAGGGTTAGTTCTGTCTGTTGATTTCATGACTTATTTTCATTCTCACATGCACTGTATTCAAGTTTAACCGCCTGTCTTACTGTTTCGTAGTCTCTCTTCAGGACATTAACCTGAGGAAGGCATTCAAAAGCTCCACTGTCCAGGACCAGCAGGTTTTGTCCAAAGGCAGCACTCCTAACTCAGTGGCTGAGATGTACAACAGCAGCGACAGGCCTCCTCCCCTCAGCGACCTCACAGCCTACAGGTGCTGCATGCGTTGGAAAAAACTACAAAATCTGAACCATGAACATTTTCAGTTGTCTCATTGTTTTTGTATTTGAATACAGAGAGGATTCCACCGATCCCATGAAATTCTACTCGGACCCGTCGTACTTTTTTGACTTGTGGAGGGAGAAAATGCTTCAGGACACAGAGGACAAGAGGAAAGAAAGGAGGAGGCAACGGGTGAGAGCTCACCTTTACCTACTGCTCTATTTTCATGTATCTATTTGGCGAGTGGGGTTTTCATCTCCTTTGCTGTCCCTTCATCCATCTTTCCCAGGAACAGAAGAGATGTGTGGAAAGCAGCACCCTTCAGCGCGAGGTGAAGAAGGTGAGAAAGGCCCGAAACCGCAGGCAGGAGTGGAACATGATGGCATTCGACAAGGAGCTTCGTCCAGATCACCGCCATCCGCAGAGTCTTCGGCGAGCGGCATCATCCGAGGGCTCGCTCTCCCCAGACGGCAGGTTAGTGCTTACTTTCTGACAGAAAGTAGAGATGCAACCGAGGGAATTGATGTTTTTAAATGTCACAAACTGCACTCTCTGTGTCCTGTCAATCTTTTAAATGTCAAAGAAAGGTAACATGTAACTTTAAAAAAAACCTTTGAAAATATGTACTATATGCAGAAATATGATAATCAAAACAAAATCTGGGACACTGGAAATTGTAGCGAAAATCTAAGACAAAGATTGGGAGGATTAAATATACAGTGTACTTTAGTAGGAGGGGTAAATCTTTTTTTTCATGAATAGGACCTTGTGGCTCAAATAGCAATAGTTTCTGTCGTGTAAAGCTTGAATTTTTATTTGATAACAACAAATACACCATCTGGATATTTCATTGTTTATCCAGGCCTGACCTCCTGGGATACCCCGTCCCTCCAGTGCCCGCCACTGCTTGTAATCACTCCAAGTCACATGATTACGTGCCTGGGAACGCACACTCCTCACCACCTGTGGAGCATGAATACCACAGCATTGATGTCAACTACAAGAGGGTAACCTATGCCACAGCAGCAGAGCCTCTCGCTGCGGACCGAATGAACGGTCCAACACTTCCACCTGCAGATTACAAGTATGTTTTTGTTGCATAAGCAGAGAAGGAATGAAATGTAATATCTCTTTTCCACTGCAACTTAATCCTCTTTCTTTCGCCGTCGACCAGCTCTCTCTCCCCGCCTCCTGCCCCGGGCCCACCCATCCCATCAGGCCAGACAGCCTTTGTTTTTCCTCTGGGTGCGCAGCCTCCAACACCATATAATGGAGTTATGCACGTAGGCACAGGCTACCCGCTCCCACCTGTGCCTCCTCCAGGGTCGCACATGTTCCCGCCTCCTCCACCCCTCCCTCCCCAGGCTGCATCCTCACACCTAGCAGGATGCAGCGAAGGTGGCAGAGCTCAGACTAAACCCGTGAGGGATGGGAGAAGTGGCCTGCTGTCCGCCATCCGCATGGGTGAGTCGGGGTATTGGCATTGTTTCTGTACCATATATGTTCTGTGTGGGACAGGCCAACAATGTGTTACCTTGTGTGCCCTTATTAGGCATCCAGCTGAAGAAAGTGCAAGAGCAGCAGGAACAGCAGAACAAGCGGGAGCCGGTGGGGAACGACGTGGCCACCATCCTGTCTCGGCGCATTGCGGTGGAGTACAGCGACTCTGATGAGGACTCTGAGCTGGACGAAAACGAGTGGTCGGACTGACCAAGCACCAAGCACATGTGGCATCTAGCGGAAGTTTTGCTTCACTGGATCTTCAATGCAACTAAAGCAAAACTGTGTATTACTCTCTTTGGCTCCACCTAGTGGACTCTACATGACATCCCACTGCTGCCAGAGCACAGTTACTTTATCTTGCATTATTAATGTACTGATTCACATTCAGAAGTTATGACTTTGGCGTTCTGAAATGTCCTCACCTGGTAAACTGAGACCTTGAACACACCGTACTCACTGATGAAATGTGCAGTAGACCCTAACAATGATGTCCCAGTACGAGGCCTTTTTCACTGAAGACATTCTGACGTTGCAGTAGGAAAGGCACAGGTATAAACAATAAAATGATTGGCTGCATTCCATTAAGCTGCTTCAGTTTCAAGATCCTGGTAATGTGCACGCCGACTCATTGTCACACCGTCATGGCTTACTGAGACACTTGACAAGAACAGTGCCATCGTTGAAGTTATAAGTTGTACTTTTCCTAATATGACAAGTCAAAATATCTATTGTGGAAAAAGGCCTAATATTTATAAATGAATGCAGCAATATATGAAGTAAAACGTTGAAGGATTTCAGTATGTATTTTCATAATTTTATGAAATTTCACATCTGTGATAATATTTTTGACTAAATGTAACCCTCCCTATATTATGTGAATGTTTGACGAGTAATTCCATACAACATTTTGTAATTGCTACCTCAATCTGTCACCATTCCACTACCCACGGGATGTATCATGACCGGTCCGAATACAGTTTTGTTCTGCCATTAAATTGTTATTTATTGTGATGTGTCTTCGAAAATGTTGACATATCATTTAAAAAATTCAGTATTAGCTAGAAAGTCATGTTGTGATTGTCTCCTCCTTTACTATTGTCTTCTTCCTCTATAGTAGCTATATTTATAGTATAACCTAGATAGTATAACAAATCATGGTGTTGTTTGTATTCATTAGAAGATATGCAAAAGATTTATTATTTTTCTAATATGGACATATGTGTCTGAAATAAAGTTGAATTAAATTGAAAATTAACATTGTGGGTGTGTGGACATGGCAGACATTTTTTTAGATGCCAATCAGCATCTGACAGTGTTATCTTGAAGCTGTTGTGAATTTCATGTTAAAAATCACAGTTGTAGCTGATAATCCCGACAGAGATGACACTCAATGATTGAATAAAATCCTGTATGAATCACCATGTGTCTAGGTATTTGTGTGACATGTTATGAAGTAGTTAAAGTGACGTGTATGGTTGTTACCCAGGTAAAACCCGTAGCCTAAAAACTAAAACATGAATGAAGTTGCAAATATATTGTTGTTGTACCTTGGTTCATTCATTTATATCCAGCAGAGGACAGTAATGCGCCTGGTGGAGGTTTAAACCGGCGGAATTTATTGTCGACTGGGAAACTGTTGAGCTTCGGACGCCATTTTGGCTCCACTCAATTTAGTACAGAACGAAACAGCGGAGCCACAATGGAGATGGTTCTTCCCGTGACAGTCCGGTGCCTGGCAGGTGATTACCACAGTGAAGCTCCTCCTTTGCTACGTTAACGACAACCCGGGAGAACAACACATTAAGACACGGTAAGATATTTATATTTACTGTATAATATGAGGTTTTAACGTTTCCTGCCAATCTAGGACCAAATGTTACGCGAATGATCGTCACTTTAGCTCAACCTCTATGTGATGATGATGATGAGGATAGCTTGTGTTTGCTAGCTAGTAGCCTGAACTAGACGCGCACACGCACAAATCAGCTTTGTTCTTAATGTTACGTGTCTGAAGTGACAACCATTATGACACCAACTGGCTAGCTAGCATGTCCTCAGCGATGAACAGTGACTAACTCAACCTTATCTTTAACCCTGGGTGAAGACGAAAAAGACTCAACTGAGTTAGCTTTTGACCTTCCACTGACTGTCATTTATCCTGTGGAGAGCACTGTGCTGCAACTGTGTAAAGTGTAATGGTAGTGCATGCTGTGTGTGTTAAAGATGTGTCTGCTGTGTGTGTTAAAGATGTGTCTGCTGTGTGTGTTAAAGATGTGTCTGCTGAGTGTATTCAGTTTAAATTAGAAGCATCCGTGTCTCATACTAGTTACTCTTTTTTATTTTTGCAGGACAGAAACTATCAAGATGGATACCTCAAACCTTCCCAAGATCCAGGATGAGGATCGAGAAAGCGAGTTTGGATTTGTGCATGGAGTTTCTGGACCAGGTCTGCTTTAGTGTCCTTTTTCTTTAAATGGATAGATTGCATTGTTTTGCATTTAATTGTCCGAAAGCCAGGTGCTATTTTGTATTATTAAAAAAGAAATCGGACTAACTATTGATATAGAATATTAGGATGTTTGATGATTTTCAGCATAATTCACATTCCAACAGATTCGTTCATTGTCTATATATTTTTTCAGTTCTTTATTTAGAGGATAGTTAAGAACATTTCTTGCAGTTACAGCGAGCACTAGAAGTGCTAAAACCCCATTATTCTTCTTTTAAACAATATGCATCCTATAACATTTTTCAATAACTATATAAATTCTGAAAGAGGGATTTATAGTAACAAAATGTACATTAACATGTTAGGAGACAATCCAGTAGTTTATCTTATTTTACACAGCTAAGGATCTATAAATGTGTGTCACTGTATAAATGTCTGTATTTCTTTAACAGTGGTGACAGCTACTGCGATGGCCGGAGCAGCCATGTACGAGCTGGTTCGCGTGGGTCACAGTGAGCTGGTGGGAGAAATCATCCGTTTAGAGGGAGACATGGCAACTATCCAGGTCTACGAGGAGACTTGTATCCTTTCTGCTGCCATGTTGCCTACCTCTGTTATACATGTAACAAGTCAAGAGCGTCCTTAAAACTAGATTCACATAATGAATGTTAAAAAAAATACACATTTTAGAGCTACTTTACTCGCGTTAAAAGTGCTTGCGGTTTGTGTGGTTTACCTTAACTTGATGCCACAGCCGGTGTGTCTGTCGGTGACCCTGTCCTTCGGACGGGGAAACCCCTCTCTGTAGAGCTTGGACCGGGAATCATGGGCTCCATCTTTGACGGTATCCAGCGTCCACTGAAGGACATCAATGACCTCACTCAAAGCATCTATATCCCAAGAGGAGTGAACATCGGTGCTCTCAACAGAGACCTGAAATGGGAATTTTCCCCCGGCCAGAGTCTTCGGGTACGATAAATAGTCAGAGCGTGAATGTCTCTCCTCCTGTAAATGTTCTGGCTAATTGCACACAATCTCCTCCCTAGGTCGGCAGTCACGTGACAGGTGGCGATATCTACGGCATGGTGTTCGAGAACTCTCTAATAAAGCACAAAATGATGCTTCCACCTCGCAACAGAGGCACCGTCACCTACCTAGCCCCCCCTGGAAACTATGACATTTCTGTGAGTCAAAAGGCAAAAACGCTCGTTTGTTGGATCAAAATTCATGTGTGACAAATTTTTATTTTTTTCGATCTCGTTGCATTCAGGATGTGGTTCTGGAGCTCGAATTTGAGAGCGTGAAGGAGAAGTTCACCATGATGCAGGTGTGGCCGGTACGACAGATTCGCCCAGTCACTGAGAAGCTACCGGCTAATCATCCGCTGCTGACGGGTCAGAGAGTTCTGGACGCACTTTTCCCGTGAGTAGTTGATTTTTTTTTTTTTTTTTAGCAACTTCGGCCTCTATTTTAACAATTTAACTACTTTTTATTTCATATTGTGTGATTTTAAAATCTGTGAGCAGCAAATTGAACCGCATGATCTCCGTGCTGTACAGATGCGTGCAGGGCGGCACCACTGCTATACCCGGCGCCTTCGGATGTGGAAAGACGGTGATCTCGCAGTCGCTGTCCAAGTATTCCAACAGTGACGTCATTGTCTACGTTGGCTGTGGAGAGCGTGGAAATGAAATGTCTGAAGTGCTGCGGGATTTCCCCGAGGTAGGTGGAAGAAAGAAAAGTTTCAATTTGTCTTATCTGTGATTTTTAAATAAGAATAAACGAGTAAAGAGAAAGATGATTTTGAAATTAGTTTAGAGCAAAGATGTCAGCGTTCGTATTGTATTATGTTAACACTGCTCTTACCCAACAGCTTACTATGGAGGTTGATGGCAAGACTGAGAGCATCATGAAGAGAACAGCACTGGTCGCTAATACATCCAACATGCCTGTGGCTGCCAGAGAGGCCTCAATTTACACAGGTACCAACCGTTCACTCTATAGAGAACAGTCTCATTGTTTAATCCCGAGTGCAAGTGGACGTTTGTGCCAAATTTGAAGAAATTTGCACAAAGCGTTCCTGAGAAATGTGTTCACGTTAATGGACCGAACTCGAAAACCTAATGCCTCCGTCCACGGCTGGCACACAAACGCATAAACACAAAGTGAATCTTCCCTTTCCTGTTACTTTATAAGCAGTGTGGAAACGCTTCTTTCCTGTTTGTAATCATTTGGAGAATCCAATTTGTAAACCGAATGCATTTACCTCTGCAGGGATCACGCTGTCGGAATACTTCAGAGACATGGGCTATCATGTGAGCATGATGGCCGACTCGACGTCTCGATGGGCCGAAGCTCTGAGAGAAATCTCTGGAAGATTAGCTGAAATGCCTGCTGGTAAGTTCACGATGGATGTGATTGATTTGTATGTATTTGCGAGGACGCTGTGGGACAGTTTGTGTCCGTCTTTGTCTGCAGACAGCGGGTATCCTGCTTACCTGGGCGCCAGGCTCGCCTCCTTCTATGAGCGCGCTGGACGTGTGAAGTGTCTGGGAAATCCAGAGAGAGAAGGCAGCGTCAGCATCGTAGGAGCGTGAGTGGACTTTCATATAAGCAGGGAAAAATAGGTCATTCTCCAACATCTGTTATACAACTTTAAATCAAGTTGGTGCCCTAAATCTTCTGTTTTGTTCAATTTGCTTTGTGATAAGCTTTATATATTTTTAGTTCCTTTTTCATGGGAGTAAGAAAAGTAGGCAACCTAACAGAACAAACCTAGTTATTTATATATTATATATCAATTATTAGACTGACTTTTCCTTAAATACTGTGCTTTCCTGTTAGTGTGTCGCCCCCTGGTGGAGATTTCTCAGACCCTGTCACTTCAGCCACATTAGGCATTGTTCAGGTAAGCACTGAGTATCGGCTCCTTACATTTAATCTTGCAGTCATTCTTGGCGTGTGTCAATCTCCTTTGTTGTTGTTTTTTTAGGTGTTTTGGGGATTGGACAAGAAGCTGGCTCAGAGAAAGCACTTCCCTTCAGTAAACTGGCTGATTAGCTACAGCAAGTACACACGAGCTCTGGATGAATACTATGACAAACACTTCCCCGAGTTTGTTCCTCTTCGTACGAAAGCCAAAGAGATTCTACAGGAGGAGGAGGACCTGGCTGAGATCGTGCAGCTTGTTGGCAAGGTGAGGTTTAGGATTATAAAACACGGTTAACCCTGAAATTAATTTCCAACATTTTTCTCCAGACACACACATTTTTACAGCCGGATAATCGCTGCATTTGATGTGTGAAATCTGTGTTTTATAGAAGAGGCTTCTGCTAGAGCTGTAGAGTTAATGATGCATAGTGTTTGCATGCTAACCTGGTTAATCAACAACTCCTGAAAGGAATAACTTGGACTGATCCTCGTGATCTTGTCTCGCTCACAGGCTTCTCTTGCAGAGAGCGATAAGATCACTCTGGAAGTTGCAAAGCTCATTAAGGATGACTTCCTGCAGCAGAACGGTTACACCCCCTACGATAGGTGAAGACAAAACATCTTTTCCATTCAGCGGGCTTGAAATGGCTCTCCCGTCTAAGTGATTTCTGCGGAAACGATGAAAAACAAATTGTTGGATATAAAAAAGGGAGATCCCGTCACTTGATGATTACATACACTGTGAGCTTCACACGTTCTCCTCTCCCCACACACAGGTTCTGCCCCTTCTACAAAACTGTTGGCATCCTCTCAAACATGATCTCATTTTACGACATGGCCCGACACGCGGTGGAGTCCACGGCACAGAGTGACAACAAAATCACCTGGGCTATGATCAAGGAGCACATGGGAGAGATCCTGTACAAAATCAGCTCCATGAAGTTCAAGGTGCGGTTGCGTGAAGGGTTTTATACGTCTGTGTCTAGATTTTATCGGCCAAGATAAATAACTTTTATTCTCTGTTTAATTCTTCAGGACCCCGTTAAGGATGGCGAAGTTAAGATCAAAGCCGAATTCGCCCAGCTGGTGGAGGACATGCAGAACGCCTTCAGGACTCTGGAGGAATGAGCTTCCATACCAGTCGGCTCCTCTCCCAAAATATCCAAACCCCAGTGCAGTGCAACATAGTGCCCGTGTTCTTAATGTCTGCCTCAGTCATGTGAACTCTTTTATTCCTCAGTGTTTACGTCTCCTTAAAACATTCCTGCACAAATTTCCTTTGCATTTAGTTGATTTTGGACTTTAGAAAACACAGTGCTGGAATCCTCTAAGACACCCGAAACTAGGGTTTACTCAGCGAATGTAGCAACATGCCAACATGTGGTTAAAATCAGTGGGCCCCAATCAGGAGCCTTACTTGCACTCAACCAATGGCTGCATCAAAGAGTGGACAGGGATGTTTCTTTTCCCCCAGATGTAACGTGATCAATACATATTATCAATCAAATGGGAACATGCACACAGGCAAAGGGACGGATGCACTGCGTTACTGTGTATCGGGGGGGGTTAAAGGCATTCTTCCACCTCTCTTACCTCTTAAGTGTGATCGTAATGTTGTGGACAAAATACTTGATATTATTTGCAAAAATGTGAATGAATGAGTCTGTTAGAGTTGTGTTGTATCAGATGTCTCTCTATTATATTTGTGGTACGTTGCTGTCTCCTGAAATAAATGTTTAAAAAAAACCAACTAAAGTTTATTGTTTGTTTATCATGTTCATGGGACATTTGTCGCTGCTTAATGTCATTTACACAATCACTTTCTGGTCTCTCCAGAACTTTTCAATCTTCAATTTACAGAGCAACTCCACTCCTCTGATAGGCCGCTCTATAAAGCAGAGTATAAACACCTTTGATTACAAATGGTAGTAATCTTAAACTCATGGGAACAGGAAAGTGATATAAAGTCTACTTTTACCTTTTGAAACAGCTGAACAAGAGTCAGAATCAACCTTTGACTGCTACAACTCATGACCACACAGATGTTCAGTGACTGGCCTCTAGGTGGCACACACACACACACACACACGCATGTTTGAATGCTTTAAGGAGACTTTCTGACTGACTAACCTCTTGAAACCTTATTTCTCGCATAAATGTGTTTTTAATAGCTTTGAAGGAGTGAGGAGAAAACATTTTACACACTACGCCAAACACTGAATCACAGTTCGTTTGATACTTATTCCCTTAAAATTTAGCTTGACATATTTGGTATCCTGACTCACCCAAGAAACAATGTAAGGCGCCCATATGTTCTTCTGAATGTAATGTTAATAGACCCGGTATTAAAAACAAAAAGTCAAACTCTGAGCATAATGGTCTCAATCACTAGTTTTAAAGTCTTCTTGAATACAGCATGATGTTTGTTTAGTAAATGATGGTCCTATTTAGAGTAAAGCAATAAAGATTGACAGGTCACTACCAGAGCCGTCTACGGCGTCTCTACGTCACAACCTTCGCATTCCAAACACTTCTGTTCACTGGTTGCAAAAAAACAAAACTATAACAATCTATTCTGAAATAACCCAAACTGCTTGAACTTCAGCAGAAAGTTGGGTGTTCATGAAATCCCTCAAAAGAAACTAACTGAGAAGGCCTTTAACTTGAAAAACTCAAGTAATGTCACTCTACTAAAACATGTGGAGGATGACGCGCACAGCAAAGAGCAGAGACAAGGCCCAGTTTCATCAAACATGACAGCAAGAGACATTTCCCCTTGTTCACTACATCCACTCGTTGGCGTCTGTTGTCATTTGCCGATGTGTAATCTTCAGCACGTACTCTTAGTTCAGCCTGACTCCCAGCATTAATTCCTCCAAAATAGATTAGAGACGCTATCTTGGGTTCCGGCCTCCATCCAGACTAATGGACGCATAACCCACAAGAGCAAGAGCAGCATCTTTGTTTTTCCTGCATTGATTCAGTCCATCCAGACTCCCACTGGTGGACATTAAGAGACTTCTGTGGTCTCAGGATTCATAGCTTACAATGCACCTGGCTCTCTTTCTCTTTTGTAAAGACTGTGTGTAAATATTTACAGCTGGAAGTTAAATAGAATAAGAAAATTCTCCTCTCATTGACTATAATGTCTCTAATATGAGCAAACAGACTCTTGCATGTGTGCTTTCCCAATTCTCTGAGCTGTCACGTATCACTGATCATTTTCAAAAAGCTGTATTTCTTTTCCATTTTGCTTCCATTTTTTACGGGCTTCCCTATAATCAGCTAACCAACTGTTGTGTGTAAAGAAAATAAAATAGATATTCACTGACATATGAAGCAACACGGTACATACTGAATACAAGCTCTCTGCTCAAGTGTTCATGAGCAAGAATTTAAATCTAAATTCCTGACGCTTGCTCAGTTGTAGCTACTCGACCCTGTGCTCTAACCCTCTGCAGGGGGGGGCAAGAGAAAAGAAAACTTCCCTGCAGAGATCACTTATCACATTGTCACTGTTACTAGTGTTGTCACAAATGTCACACGAAGAGTGAAATGTATAGAAACCCCTCTGATCACACACACACACGCACACACACACTCTTCAAGAGAGTGTGTGAGCAGCGAGGTCGGGTTGCTAGTGGGAGGAAATGTGATCCCAGAGGGTGGGGCGGCCCTCTGGATCATCGCTCACTCTCTCGTCTCATGAGTTACCCGTCATGTTTCTCTGGTCCAGCTCAGTGTGGATTGTCAAGTCTGTCGTTGCATCTTTTGAACACCTCAACATAGCCTCACACTCTCTGCACACCTCAGCTGTGCAGAGAGAGAGAGGCATTAAAAGGCTCCTGGTTCTCCGCCTTCCTCAAACAGTTGAGGCAGCACCGATATTTACCAAGCATGCCATGTATTCAAACTTCTAATAGTAACTGATAGAAGCTGGTAAGAAGTAGGCTACGCGAAAGAACGACTGGTGAACTACTTAATGACATGATAGTCTTGGGGAAAGTGAACTTGTCAGGAGGAGTCCAAGTTGCCTTCTGTTGGGACATTGCCACCGAGGGAATCCAAGAAATGAAAACCATCTCGCTGCACTGATACGGTGTCGCCGCAGCAGGAACGTGCCAATTTCCTTTTTCAACACAAATGACTGATGAGAAAGTAGGCTGCTGTTTTCCCCCCTCAGTCATTTACAGAAGGAGCGTGGTGACGAGGGGTCATCCTTTACTCTTTTTCCTCTTCATCGTTTGCAGAAGATAACTGTTACCTGGAGACAGTAAATCTGACTTTTCCAGCCCACGTGTGTTGATGGTTTTGGGTTTTTTTTGTTGCAGAGACTAAAGGTAAGTTAAGGGAGAAAATATTTCATCTTGGCTTTGTAAAGGTGGAATTTCCTATTAAACACAACTATAATATTAAATAAGTCATTGTGATCATCACTAGCTAATGCAGTCTGATATTTAGTCGGACAAAAGCTGTTATATTAGGAAACTAGGATAAGATAAACAATCAAAAGTTGACTGAAGTGTATATTTTGTCTTCTTAATATTTACTCAGTTCATTTCTGCAGATCCGGATCAGGCTCTGTTTGACAAAATGAAATAATAACTCACACAGACAATAACTCAAGTACATCTTGAGGACTTGGGTTTGCTGACCCAGAACGTTTGTCTCAGTGGACACTGTGGCCTTGTTTCAACAAATTACACTAGAAGCTCTTGGGGACTGAGAACCCTCTGATTTTGGACTTCATTAATTTCTATAATAAACAGAAGGTCTTGTAGTAAGTAACAGGTTGAGTCCATTAAAAGTTGCTATAACCTGTATAATACTGTATTGTGTGTGTGGGGGGGGGGGGGGGGATTCAGAGTGTGTGTTTAGATCCCAACTGCAGAATATAAGAAATAAGAACATATAGAAATCAATAAAAACATGTTTGTTCTGAGGAGTGCTATTCGTTGTGGTATGGTTGTACTTTTTCATATGCAGCAGTAAGTTACACCTTTTCAACATTTTCCCCCCTTCATCAATGTTCTGTCAATGTGTAGTTTATTATTCAAGAGTACAGAGTTTAAATTGACGGCCTTTTGTGTTGAAATGACAGCTTATAAACGTCAAAGTCATCTTCAGCAAGCCATTATGAAATGGGAGAAGTTAAAGCCTCCAGAGCCAGATGATCCTATGTGTTGCTGTGAGTGTGATATCGACCAGTACGGATGTTGCTGTGACTGTGACGATCTGGATGAAGCCTTTAACAGGTATGAAGGGCTAAAGAAAAAGGGTCAGTACTCAGGAAAATATACTGAAGTGCTGTACTGGAAAGTAAAATAAGCCTAGAAAAGTTCAGTATGTCTTTTAAAGTCTGCTCTACGTAACATTTTCTTTATCACGTATGACCAAGAAAGATAGATACGGCACTCTCATATCTGTCAGTGGAAAACTATACAATCAGCAGCTGGCTTGTGTTTTTTCTCTGGGACCCCTTAAAGAGTCTGACACCTGAGATTTCCTCACAAATAAAAAATAAACAAATCTTTATTATGCCATTACAACTACACTGTAAATCTTACATTTGAAAAAAAGCAGTTCATACTTCTACTACTACTTATGTGAAAGCAGCATGATCATTTGATTTTAGAGTGTATTGAAAAATGTGTGTAGCACAAGAAAAACCAATTACTGACATTCATGATTACAAATGTTTGTAGTTATGACTTGATGACCACTGTCCTCTACAGGTGGCTGAAAGACGGACCCCCTAAAGGTGCATGTCAGTCCCCTGTACGTGGGGCCATCGTTGGCAAACTAGAGATCTCTATGATCCCGGTCCTGGTGTTGCTACCTCTGCTGCTGCGGGTTGCAGCGCTGCACTACCTGCTGGGTATCATCATCCTGACAGCTGTGCCCGGCCTGGTGCTTTGGTACTACTACGCCACGCACAGGAAGAAGAGACGCACCCTCTTCTTCCTCACCCTCGCCCTCTTCTCCCTGTTCTACATGTATTACCTCTTCATCACAGAGATTTTACCTCGTGGAGACGTCAGCCAGCTGCAGCAGTGCGCTGTGACCGCTGGGGTGATTCTCACTGTAGTGTGTCTTATTCACACCAAGAGGGGCCCAGGAGTGGTGGCCACTTCCCTACATGAAGCACACGGTCAAGGTCAGGAGGCTAACAAGGACTCCGCACAACATAATGTATCTATCCAATCAGCAGCATCCTCGGGGATTGCAACAGATTTGCAGACAACTAAAGAGGCCCTGACAGCAAAATGGAGTACCTGTCCTGTGTGCAAAATAATGCGCCCCCCACGGGCCGGACACTGCCGAACCTGTGGATCATGTGTCCGGCGTCTGGACCACCACTGTATCTGGTGGGTTGGACACAACATATGTATTTATATTCCTTGCGTGGCCAGTGAATCACTTCTAAGTCATTGATACTTTTTCTGTATTGTGCATTCACAACAGGTCATGAAACTGAATATGGAAGGTTGATTAGATAACTGCCCTGTGATTGCACAACAATGACTATATCTTTAGCAAAAGCTCAACTTTTCTCCTGTTTTCTTCCACGCAGAGAAACTAGGGCGGGTTTAAATTAAACATTAGACCATTTGATTACGCAAACATTAGCAAATTCAGTTGCACTTTTTACAGGGTGAACTTCTAATACCAGGTCCAAACATTTGTGATGAATTTGTCTGTGCTTAACCTCTTAAAAATAGACAAACACTCTCATTCTGGTCAACAAATAGCACATTTGTCAATAAAATGGCCATGAGTCAGCCTTTAAAAGTAATTTGACAGATTGCAAAAACATATTGTCTTGCTTACCCATGAAGAAAAGTTTGGTTTTATTTTTTGAGAACTGAGGTTTTAAAACATTTGCTGACATTTCTACTGCAAAATTAAAACTATGGATGTTATCGACTGTGGCGCCCAAAGCACTGAAAACTGGCATTCATTTAAAAAAAACATTTAAAATATAAACTTAAACTACACCTGTAAGCAGGTACACCAGGGTCCAAGCTCCCAAAGATTCACCATTTTGGAGCAACCAGGAGGACGAGGACTACACAGCTGCTTTAATATGACCAGGAATAACACAAAAGTCTTTCACATTTAAAATTGTGCTATTGCATCATTTTACATACAACAGAAGGTGTAAATAGCCACACTATCAGGCAGTGTGTTGCTGCTTTGATCTCTAAACTGGTACATTGTGTTGTGTCTCTGTGTTGCGTCTGTATGCGTTGAGGTGTTGTAGGATAAACAGCTGTGTTGGACAGGCAAACCATCGCAGTTTCCTGCTGACCCTGTCTGTGTTCCTGTTGACCTCTCTATATGGCATCAGTGTGGTGCTATGCAGCCTCTGTCCTCGACAGCATCTAATGACAGCTCTCCTCTACTGCCCCGGCGTCTACAGTCAGTCCAGGTACAGCACTCATTCATCTTCTGTCTCCATCACAACTGCTACACACGCTCAATCCAGTAAACAACTTATTACTATCTGTTTGAAACACCTGTAGTTTATACAGGATACACCCAAAGGACAACATCTAGACCTGCAGGTATCTTCTATCATACAGGATTTACACCATATGATTGCAACAATACTTGAAATACATTTCAAACATTAGGCCCTAAATTATATTTCTGTAAAGCTACATTCACTCTTTCTCCATCTCAACAGCATGGCCCTTTGCTTCACCTGTGCTTGGTACAGCAGCATTGTCACGGCTGGACTTCTTTTTCTGTTGGTGGTACAAGTTCTGAATATCAGCTTCAATGTGACGGAGCGGGAGGCTCAGCTGGCTCTGAGGAACAAAACAGGCCAGAGCCGCCTGTGGGGACTCGTCATCGACACAGGAGAGTATTCACGTGGCTTCTATCAAAACTGGGTTGAGTTCCTCACCATGGCACATGCCTCGGTTTCTCCTCGCGCCAGTCTCACTGACTTAGTATAGTTTCCCTTGGTACTCTCCATTCACGTCATGATAACAGCCTGTTTAAACAGAATGCTTGAAGAATTACATCTCATGTATTACTTAGGATATATCAGCTGATATCTTCCAATGCTTATTGCATTCAAGCCTCTTCATACCACACTTTAAAAAACTATTGTAACTCCAAGGTGCTGATGACTGCTTAAAAACTACACGTTGATAATTGTTTTTGGGTTGGACGTTGTTGCACAATTTATTTAAGGAAATAAAGAACATACAGGCAGCCACAAAGGATCATCCATATGACTGTATATATTTTCTCCACCTGCAGAATGTGATCATCTATTTAAGCTGTCTGACTGAATTCAAAATGTTTTGACCGCATGCCATTTAAACAATGAAAGAAACAACAAGGTCAAGCAAATAAAGAACAACAGCACGCTTTCGGCTCCGTGTCTCAGGTATCTATCTGCCTTTGGATGCCTCCCTGTGGAGATCCTCTGACTCAAACTGGGAGAAATACCATGTAATGCCTCCCAGCACTTTAATCAAAGCTGTTCATTCAGCATTCGATAAAACAAGACAGGCATGGAACTAGAGCGCTGCATCTGACCCCTGTGGTGTGCAGTCATAACTTCCTGGAGCAGCGTCAGTAATTCTTTACTGTTACGACTGATGCGATCTGTATTAACTTAATATTCTCCTCTGCATTGCTCTGTGTTATTGATTTTTTTCTAACGTTGCTGTCTGATAGTGCCAGTGGTGCTCCTTTTAGACCGCCCCGACCTGCACATTTTAAGACATGCTGAGTGTGTTTCTGTAAATAATCAATTACAGATATTATTAATTTATATTAAGCTGAACGCCACAATCCATAATGTATAACATTTAATGTGTATAAGTAAATCTATTCACTCGTATAGCATAATAAACAGCAAACGGAACAGTGTATGTACTCTCCTGTGTTTCACTCCACACACTTTTCCCATTATCAGGTCTCATAATGCACATGTTGGGTGGAGCCATCGATTAAACTGCTCAAATCAATACATTTCCTCCATTTAAATCCCTCAGTTTATCAACTCCTTACGTTTACAGCAGAGGCTCTGGAGTCTGGTCTGGTGCCACCCTCAGGCCAGTCTGAACATTTCCCCCGACAAGTGCTGCCGACGTTAAGAACAGGAAGCTGTCTCTGTTTTTTATCCTCCCTCCCCCACTGTTGATTTCAGGAGTGTACAAAGCATTGCAGGATGCCTATTGTTCATCTGATGTCTAGATGTACAGCTGTTTCCAGCAGTTTAAATATTTTACATTACTATGACCTGCCTATAATACATCTCTGTCAAGTCCACAATCATTTGACATAATACAGTTGGTCCTGACTGCCAGGACGATATGTAACAAGAGGATTAGCTTCTGAAGTTTTGATTTGTTAATTCATTTGTTACAAGTTTTGCGCTCTTTTTAAATTTCTTGTATAACCCTGTGAATGACAACATTTGCTGAGACTCACTAGATTTCATATTCAGTGCTTAATTGTGTACATTTATAGAATTAAGTTGCACTCACAAGTTGAAGCCTCTCCACTAGCATCACCACGACATTGTACACATTCAAGCTGCTCCAGACAAGACAAGGCCCAAAGGAAACACTCTTTTCATTTTGGTCACTCTATGAACTTTCCTCTAGCACCCGCCTCGGGTTACAAGGTTCATTTAATGTCATCATACAACAAGGTTGTGGGAACAAAATGCAGTTCGTAGTCCTACTTTGCTGCACAAGAAAACACAGAAACTATATTATAGGATGAATTAAGAAGTATCACAGCCTGAGGAAAGAAGCTACTCTGATGTCTGGTGGTACGTTAGCTGATACTTCTATACCTCTTGCCAGATGGCAGCAGGGTGAACCGGCTGTGGCTGGAGTGGGTATTGTCTTTTCATATCCTTTAAGCTCGTTGCAGGCACCTCTTGTCACCAATGTCACTGATGGTCAGTAGATGGGTACCAACGATTCTGGGTGGTTTTAATCACCTGCTGTAGAGCCCTTCTGTGTTGGGACCTGCTCATCCAGTTTGTAATGTTTTCAGTCAGGATGCTTTCTATTGCTCCTCTGTAAAAGTCGACAAGAACTTGGCACAAGAATTTTACCTTCTTTTCAACTTCATCCAGAAGAAATCTCATGATCTTAACAAAACAGATTCAGCATATTAATAAAGTCTTGACTTCAATAAAACCACGCCTTTTTATACCTCGTTGCCATTTTTTATTTTCATGCCCTGATTCTTATCTTCCCATAAACTTAATTTCTGATCATTTCACTCATTTCTTTATCTTGACCTCGATGAATGTACAGTATATACTTTGATCGTGTACTGTATGCGAGTATGCATGCCTGCCTCGGAGCACACAGGACAGATGTATCCTGTGACAGACAAGAGACTGTGATTGCTTTGGGCAATGAGCTGTTAACAAAATATGCAGTCATATTTTCTCTGTGATCATTTACATTTGTATTAATAGTTGAGGCTGTTAAAAGGGAAGTTATTTATTTATTAAAAATGTCAGGAATAATACTGCGTTCAATTTCGTTCAGGCTGTAAATACAAACAACCAAATGGGAGAGCCTGTTTCTGACAGCTTGGTGAAAAGAACGACAGTAGTATCTACGAACTGGTGGGAAAATGCCTACCGAGCCACCTGCGTCACTTGCAGTTAGTGACATAAAATCCCGTAATGACTCTAATACAACCAATTTAGTTCATCAAGACGGGGCTACATTGTATTTCAGCCTCTGCTTTCACTTGTTAACGAGCTGATAGAAACACAAATGCTTATAGGCTTGTTGTAAATGAATAGCAGTCGGGGAACAATTTAGAAATAATGTGTAAATGCTCCCACATTGGAATAACTGAAGGATTTCTCATTTTGCCCATTTTGCCAACATGGCATGAAGTCATCATCACCCTATCACATTATCACTAAATATTGCACATTGCAACCAACTGAATACCCCTCTGCTCACTCCTCCCTATCCAAGCGCAAGGTAACACGAGCTGCTGAGTGCGAAACAGGCCATCCCAACCATACTTCATAACACTACTTTAGGGGCGATGGAAGTCAGACAGCAGCTGGAGATACCACAGTAAAAAAACACGCAAGGCCCTCACGAGAGACAGTGTTTGGTTTGTCAGTTCTGAGCTACCGTAGAAACATGGCCGTACCATTTCTGCTAATATATACCCCTACATGTTACACGCTGTGCCTTTAATTTGAGCTTTTGTAAATCTGCATGATACTTAAATAACAAACCAATATATTGTCTAAATTAAAGTAGTTTTAAGAATCTGCACTAGTTGTGACAATTTAGAAATGACTGGTAAATGGGCTCTGTGTATAGATTCCTGCAGCTGCCCTGGTTTGTATGAGCCTCTCTTTATGAAATATAATATATATATATAAATAATATTATATTAAAAATATAAACTCTGACACAACATTACTTTAAATATTTGTTTTCTTGGGGCAAAAGGCATACCTGTTTAAACTGGAAAGGTATGTACAGTAGGTCGGAGGACTGTTTGTACTGTGGCATGTATCGGCCTGCACCTGACTGCTGCAACTTATCGCACTGATAAATCTCCTCATCATCACCACTGGATCTGTGTTTGCATCTGTGCAGCGGGGGAAAATCCGGCAGAAAGTGGAGAGCTCACACACAAAAGTCACAGTAAGACATATATATATTGGAAAGATCTTCAATAAAGGGAATCAAAAGCAAAAGTACTCATTATGCAGAAGGAACCGTTTCAGAATAATATATACTATTATTATAATGTTTAATACTATATGTTTTAGTATATAGTACTATTATACAAATTTTGTTTTCGGCTACTCTTGAAGCAGTAGATGATAAGTTGGTTAAATAAAATACAGCAGTTAAAACCATCATTTTCACCAGGTAGGACAAGGTAAGCATGAATTTAATAATTATATGTTCAGTCAAAGTTTGCAGTTGGGTAGAACTGACCTTGGCGTCGAGGCGTACAAAGCAGCTTTGTGTCTTTCTGAGAGTTACTGTTGCACTTGCAAGCGGGCAATCGACAGTCTTCAACAGAGTTTCAGACTGAGGGAGAGCGACTTATTTGGACACATATGAAGGCCAGCTAAGTGTGGGTGACTTTGTCCTTCTTATCAAAAAGTTCACTTTAATGATGCCAAGGCATCAAGGTCAATACGGCATTCTCAGATAAAAACTAGACACAAATTAAATGAATACAGACGTGATAAAACAGTTATTCCTCGCGTTGAGTAACAGCATCGTCCTATTGTTGATGGTATTTGGTTTGTTTAGTCATTTGTTTTGTTCAGGTCATGAGGAGGGGAAAGTATTTACACTCTTTAAACCCACAAAAGAGACACTAAAGTTTCCCTGGAAAGCATTTCAATTCACATCATGGTGAAGCATGATTACCAAACTAATCTGCAAGGGCATTTGTGTTGTCTCTGTGTTTTTTTACTATCGCAACTGCTGACAGATGAATTTGATTCTGTGGTCTCTTGCCACAGAAAGCACTGGAAGGCAGCCACTGCTTTGTTTACTGCGTTTTTTTACAGCTCATGCTCATCAATTGCATTAACAAATACTGTCCAACTCAGAAATGTGACAGACGGGATATAATCTCCACCCGAATTCTTATTCAGGTTATATAGTTTGTGCTGCATTCTGTCTACTGTCATGTGGTTGATTGAGTTCTGCCCTGGCAAAGCTGACCTTGTGGCTGTGAAACTGTGAGTGTGTTTTTCATAACCTTCACTTGTTTGAACCCATCCCAGCTCTAGCGTTTTTGTGGGTGTGCATGTGTGTGTGTGTGTGTGTGTGTGTGTGTGTGTGCTGGCTGACAGGGGAAAAGGTAATCTCACTCTCCGCTATATAAAGGGTTGTCAGCAGAACTTCGACAACAGATCTTCCTCCACGCTCTCCTCCATCATCGTTTCTGCGACTGCTCCTCAGTAGCTATGACTTTCCCGCTGATGCTGCTGGGAGCTCTGCTCTGCTCCCTGACGGTTTCTTCTGAGGTCGTACCCCAGGCAGACTTCGATGTACAGGGGGTAAGACACCTAAATGGGTGACTATGAGACTTAGTCACAATATTGATTCATGCTGCCTATTAAATTAAATTCCTGCTCCCAACCGGCTAAAAAGGATTTGGCAAGAAAGTGACACATGATTATTAAATTGTCAAAGGAAGTTATTTGATGGCATGCACAAGATTTGCTAGAATATGTAAGACAAGGAGTATTTGACTTTGACTTGTATATCCCTCCAGGACAGTTTGTTTAACAGCTATGTACTTGAGTTTGCTGTGCATTTGTCACATGTTTGCAATAAGTAAGTGACATTTAGGGGGAATAATGAGGAACCAACTTTTCTAAACCTGCCATCACATTATTGTTCACTAACAGACTGTTGAGTGTAAACATCTAAAGTTGTTTGTGATAACAGATGACCACTTGAAAAGACAATTGAAGTTGAATGTGCCACTTGCTACTAAATTCAGACCACCGTGAGTGTTCCAGATGGTGTTAACGTTTGTCTTGTGTGTGTCCGCAGATAGCAGGGAAGTGGTACCTTCTTGGATTTGCCACTAACACCGAGTGGTTTGTGAACCGCAGAGCCAGCATGAAGATGGGCACTGCCATGTTGACCATAACTGCTGATGGGGAACTGGACTTTTCCTACACCAGTCTTAAGTGAGTGTGAGAGGAGGGAGAGAAAGAAAGGAGGGTAAAAACTAAGGTGCTCATCTCACATTTCAATGTTTTCTTTTGCAGCTCCGACGGCTCTTGTTGGAGACTGAACAACGTAGCTAAGAAGACTGATGTGCCTGGGAAGTTCACGTACACAAGTGAGCATGAGTGCACCCACACATGCGCGCACAAACACACACACATACAGGCATGCGTGTAACAATAATTTCTGCCATCACATGATCTCTTTCGCCCTCCTCCCTTTGTCAGGCTTGGGGGAAATGAAAGACATGTGCATGGTCGATGTGAAGTATGACGAGTACGCACTGATTCACACCATGAAGAGCAAGGGCAGTAATGCCACCGTTGTCAACAAACTATATGGTAATGTTCTCATTAGCCATGATGCTACCCTCTGTCCTATGAATGTAATCTTCAGTACAGTCAAGCAGTACTAATATCATGTGGTCTGACAGGCCGTGCCATGGACCTCAGTGCTGACCTGCTGGAGAAGTTCAGGCAGTTCTCCTTGGAGACTGGCATCCTGCCTGAAAATATTGCTTTCCTTCCCAAAAATGGTACGTTTCATATCAATAGAGAGGTTTTATGTTGAAAACAACCTCTGATTAAGAGAGATGTTTTGCCCTACTCTCCTTACTTTGCTGTTTTCATCCCTCTTTAGCGGAGTGCCCAGCTGCTTAGTGTTCTGCCACCGGTCATTGTCACAAGGCTGTCTGAAGACTTAATGTTAACGTTGATGAATATTTTACAATCAATCAGTTCAGTTCATCTTCTCTGCTCTCTCTCAGTTGTTGTATGAAGAAAAGCTTCCAGCGCAACAAAACATGATGTAAAGCCTGGTTTCAATACACAATACTTTTCCTTTGAAGAATTAAAATGCTCTGCAGTGAGTAATGTGTCGGCTATGTTTCTTCCACAAGAAAAGTAAAATCCATATATAAATTTTTAAGTTTAACACAATATATCTCCTACTTCACTGAAACGTCCAATCTCAGCGGACCGTCTGTCAGACCTGAAGGACACATACGATGTGTTTTGATGAGTAACACCGACTGAAAACTTTAGTTTGTTTACAAGAAATACAAATGTACAACGTCAAATATCCAAGTGGCAAATTGAAAACAAAACGGCTAAAATACTTTGCTTTTATTATCTTTAACAAATACGTTGAAGTACATCCATAACAACACAGTTCAGATTTCCGTTTTATCAAGTGTTTACATCTACACGCTTTGTACAGATTGGTATACAAAACAATAATTTACGTCCCATAGAAGTCTAGTTACACATAACTATACAACAACTTGTAAATGAAATAAATATAAAAACAGGAATAATCACAGGTGATAACAAAAATGTAAAAAGCCATAGTACAAGTACACCACCAGCACCTGTCTTCTGAAGTTGCATCTAAAAAGATATACATTTTCCCTTTCTACTGGCAAAAGTACATCTGTGAGTTCAATCCATAATTTCATAACAGCAGCACCAGTTACACGGTATGATTCCTATTTAGGCCAGATACTCATATTTGGACACTGATGTGAACTTTGTTTTTTTTAACCCGGCCTAATGTCGGTATCATACAGACGTTTGTAGATGAGGTTTTCTTCTGTGATTTAACAGATATCATGTCAATTCATGTGAGAAACAAGTTTGTTTATGGAAAAAGAAACCACTTGTCATCAGTAATAATTGTGAATAAAGTTTTTTTTTTCCAAATCAATGGGATTTCCCCCTCCAGGTAGCATTAATGGATTAGAAATACTGTCAGTCAGGGCTTCAATCTCTGCTGCTTCTGAACAATGTACAGTACACTTACTGACTTGAGACGGACATATCATAGGTTTATGATAATCAAGTGACGGGGAAACGATGGCATCGTGACATAGGTGCATATGTGAACTGTTATTCACTACCATGACACATCCACTGTGAACTGAAGGATCGTAGACCGCTGTGCAGAGAGGGATTGTTGCTTTTCTCCGAGTGCCGCACACAGCCCGCCTTGTGTTTTTAACAACACAACCAAAAGCACTATGTTACAGAGTGGTGGGGTTGGAGCTCCAGGAAGCACAACAGATGTTTGTTTGTCATTCACTCTTCCTCTCATACAGACACACACATGACTCGATTACTGCATCCATCGTGATCTGTACCAAGACGGCAAGTGCTACTGGGAACAGGTTGCTAATTCAATTTTAAGTACATTTTAACAAAATGATGCAAATGTTTTTTGCAAATCACACTTCAGTTTCGAGACAAATAATTAGGACCATTGTGATTGACAACTGATTGCTGCCTCCAAAAAATAAAAAAAAAATAAATGATGTATATCTACAAAAGAGACATCTGCACAATCTGCCATGCACACTGTCACCAGCAAAGGGACATGCAGTTAAAAGTGCAAATCTACAGAAGGGTCCTGTTGCTATCTTGGACAGAGCGTTAATGTTATGTACACGTGTATACATTTCTGAACACACATTAGGCTGAGGATCAAAAAAAAAAAAAAAAGAGAAAAACAACAGAACGGACTAAGTGCAGCACGCACACACGCGCCACATCGTTTCAATGTGACGGGTGGCGCGCTGAGGGTGTGATGGTTACTTCGACATTGTTCTTGGTTGTGGCACAGTATTTGGCTCAGTCAGAGTCAGTCTGCCTGCACCACGTCCTTGTGGTGACGCATGATATGCTGGTTCTTCTCCGAGGGTCGTCGGAAGCCTTTCGAACAGATCTCGCAGCGGTGCGGATAGTCTTTCGTGTGAATGGAAATCACGTGTCGCTTGAAACCCGAAGCATCCCCGGTGCTGTAGTCGCAGTACTGGCACTGGTAGATTCGCCTTTCTTTTTGTCCTTTACCGATAACTACCGTCACACTGCTGGCTAAGCTGGCTGCACTGACTCTGCCGGCCGGGCCGGCGGCGCTGGACGCGCTGGGTGCAGACTTTTTAGGCGTCGCAACAGGAGTGTGCGTCTCTGTCCTCTTTGGCTCACTCTTTTCAGGAGAGGCCTGTTGCTCCTTAGTGTGGACAGACAAGATATGGCGACTGAGAATAAAAGGGTCTGCAATTTTGAAGTTGCAGTGCCGGCACTGGTGGAGTTTCTTGGTGCGATGGGCTACCGAGTGCTTCTTCAGTTCAGACGGCCGGTGGAAGCCTTTACCACAGATGGCACATTTGTGTGGATAGTCCTTGGTGTGAACAGATATGATATGGCGTTTCAGGTCACTGGAGTTGGAACTTTTGTGATCACAGTGGGCACAATGGTGGGTCTTATTCTCCTCGTGCGTTAGTCCGTGCTGAATTAGCTCCTCCTCCTCGGCGAAGGTCTGGAAGCAGCGCTCACATTTGTACGGCATCTCTTTGCTATGCTTCGTCTTGATGTGCGTCTTGAGATTGGAGGAATCGGCCGACTTGTAGTCGCAGTAAAGGCAGGAGTACGGCTTCTCGCCCGTGTGCGTGCGCATGTGTTTCTTCAACTCTGAAGGATGTCGAAAGCCTTTTCCACATTCCACACAGATGTGGGGGAAGCTTTTGCTGTGAACCGCCAACAAGTGCCGGTTGAGCAGCCCTTGCTCGGCCGTTTCATAGTCACAGAACTTGCATTTATGCATCTTGTTTGGTGTCGCAGGCGGCTGGCTCTTGGGCTCTCGATGGTGGTGCTGCAGTCGGTGAGAAAACAGCGCCGCCTGCTGGTGGAACTCCTTGCCGCACATTTCACACTCGAACTGGGCCTTGCTGCTCAGAGCGTGCACCTCCATATGGTTGTGGAGGCTGGCTTTCTTGTTGGTGGTGAAGTCACAGTCTGTACACTGGTACTTTTTCCTCGTCAGAACTTCCTGGTGGTGATTCTTGGTGTGGCGTTTCAGGAAGCCTCGTGACTTGAACTTTTTACCACAAAGCATGCAGGGGTAAACCGTCAGAGGCTGACCATACGGGCCGATGATGATGGCTGCAGAGAAAAATGAGAAAGAGGGAGACGCAAATGACAACATGACCATAAACATGTTCGTCAAGTAAACTGTTGGTCTATTTAAAAGGGTAATATGAACCATATATTCCTTATCAATAACAATCAAATAAAAACAACTGATATCACTAATCGAATCACTCTTTAAGGTTGTTCAAAGATTGTTCTGGGATTGCAGCTATTTAAGATCAATACCATCTGGAATCAGGAAATTCATACAATTGTAAACCAAAAAATGGAAAATCAACAAGTAAGATTTAGCTGAGTGCAGCAGCATATATCATGCACCACATTGAGAGGTTCTCAGTATTAGAAGCTAAGCTAACTGTCACAAAGGAACACAATAAACACCTGATACGCCTGTGTGAAGGACATAAGCTATGTAATCACCATCTTAAGTGAAGTGCTTATGTGAAAATACTGATTCTCCAGCTCGGGGAAAGGGTTGCTATGACATACAGCAATTAAAATGAATCTATGCGACTAATGAATAGAACTTTATTACATCTATTTGGGGTAAACTAATTGTTATATTTATCAGGTAATAAAAAAATGAATCTTGTTATGATTGAAAAATTATTGTTAGGTGAAGCCCTACTTCTACATAATCATTATGCATGTACTACAGTGAATAAGTGGGATACCTGCAACACATTATTAATCCAGTGCTGAGGCATCTTCACAATATTTTTCTAAATTATCAGGATAAACTAGTAGAAGGCAACTGAAATATGCTCGTTAAACTTTGGTTGCACCGGCTGCAGTCACGCTAAAGTCACAAGCTGCAAACCACAACAAACGCAATGCATCGCTTTCTTTTTTTTTTTCCTGTATTAAAACTCTAAATGTTTTTGTTTGACTGCTGGTTAAACTGCACATTTAAAGTGTGGGTGAAGTAATTTGTTTGTAATCACAAGCTAGAGAATAATCGCTGAAAAACTATGAAAAGAATACAGTACTGAATTGTGAATTTAGACGGTTTAACCGCTTTCCACCATTTGTGTGTTTTTTGGGAGGGCCTGACCTCAAGGCTCGATGACTCCCTGGAGCCATCCTCAGCATGACCGGTCCCCCAACACCAAATCAAAACTAGAGCTCGGAGCATCAGTGGTTCTGCTGCTCGATCGGGAGTTACAACACGATGTACAGAACACAGCCTGCAATTAGCTCGCTAGCTATGCCACCAACAGCAGACAGCTTCCAGATACGTGAACTTTACGTTGCTCTTACCTGTCTGTACCTGGCGAGGCTCCGACCGTCTCTTGCTCTTGTTACGTTGTCTGCCGATTTCATCCACCCCGTCGGATTCATCAATGTGCAGCAGTGCACTGGCGGCACCGTTTCTGTTTTCACAACTCTCGCTATCCTCCGCACCTGTGAGACCGACACAACGCCTTTAACACGGAAATAAACAACACCAACATCTGGAAAAGCTTAAGCCAAGAAACTCAGAGGCAAGAAACTCAGGTTGATGCACAGGCTGCCAGTGTTGTTTTTTTAAGCAATTTAATAGACAGGGGTGCTGACCATAAGCAGCTGCCCAGGCCACAGGCATGAAGTCCTTGCTTAGAGACACGCTGTCATACGAGCGGTCGTGAGTTACTGGCTCTTCGCCTCCTACCACCACCTCCATATAAACCTCATCAGTCACCTTGGACCCACCTGTAGATGAGCCCAACATGTACAAAACCAAAACACTAGTAATGTTTAGTTTCATGACAGTCACGCCCCCCCCGTCGTTAGATCCAAGAGCTCACCGTGGTTTCCTTGATTGTGATGAGAATCCCCGACTGACATGTAAACCATCTTCTCTCGGAGCGTTTGGCCTGAAGACTCCGTTAACGCCACGCTCTCCGCGTCTCCATCGCTGATGTCAACCGATTCTCCTGCAGAATTTAAAACACAACTTCTAAATCCTCAACATTTTTGGCAAATCTGTCACAAAATGATATTTGTCAACCTGTGGAAAACTGAGGCTTCAAACTATTTCCAGGGTTTCACCAAGTTACATTTAAGACCTTTAAATACCTCTTTAACACTACAAATTAGTACTTATTTTAAATGTAAGCAGTGACCTAGATAGGAGCAGACTGTATTTTAATTAATTTGGTATACGTATATTCTTACACCATCTAAAAGCCCTTTCAGAAACAAAACCCAAATCTAATATTGTATCCTGTGGGAATCACTGGTATTCAGGCTATAATTAGGCACTTTGTTATTCTAATAGAGGTTTAAGCTTAACCAGTACTCACCCATGTCATCCTCCCCAGAATCAGCCTTGAAGATGTACACCTTTATCACTTCCTGCCCATCCTCATCCTTCTCCACCTCCTGGTCCTCCACAGCTCCCTCCACCGTTACCTCCGTTCCATCCTCCGATACCATTTTTCCCGCTTCGTCCACTAGCGAGACGGAAGGACGAACGGACGGACGGACGGACACACACACACACACTTCATTAAAGACATGCAAGTGTGTGAGATCTGCCAGCCATGAGCTGGTGACAGTGTTAATTCTACAACATGTGACAACTTAATACTTCATCACTATTTGAAGATAAAGCTTGGATATAGTTTCACCATTTCAGTATATCAATGAACTCTAGGAAATGTATCACAATTCATATTTTGTTGTTGAACTAGCTTGTCTGAATATTGAATAAATATTACCCAGTCAAGTCTGAGATTAGGTACCATGAATTCTCTCAAAAATAGTCAGTTTAGAAGTAGGTTTGGTTTATTAATACAACAGAAAATCAAAGCTGTGCTTAAAATTCACTATTTCTGTCATCTCATCTCATCTCTCTGCATGTCCACTAACACACACACACACACACACACACACACACACACACACACACACACACGACAGTGTGTTTCATACCCATCCTCAGACCCGGTACCAATTAGGGTCTGAAATTATTGCAGAATATATAGAAACTGGCTGCTACGGGGCGACTGTGGCTCAGTGATCAATCAGAGGATCGGTGGTTCGATCCCCGGCTCCGCTAGAACATGTGCAGGCTGTGGCTGCGGTGTGTGAATGATTAGTTAGGGCAGGTGGCACCTTGCATGGTAGCCGCTACCATCAGTGTATGAATGAGTGTGAATGGAGACATCTAGTGCTAAAAGCAGTTTGAGTCGTCAGAAGACTAGAAAATTGCAAGACCATTTACCAGAGATGTTTAAAATTAGCATTTGTTACAATCTGTAATAGTCTACTAACTGTGTAGCTGGACAGGTGTCAGCTGTAAAGAGAGTCAATATTTTGAAATCTAAGTCAAAAGTTCTTCAAACAACAAAGGCACATTTAAAGTCAATCCCACAACAGCAGAGACGTAAACTTACAGGATATCATGAGATAGTCTCCACACCCATCTTGGTCGTCGTCCTGCTGCTCTGAGTCCAGCCCATCTTCAGGGATGTCCCCCATGGCGACACCTTCCTCGTCCCCCTCAAGAGCCATCACGCAGGTTTCAACGGCGACATCTTCATCTTCATCACAGTGCACATACTCGGAAACCACGTCCTCCACAGCATCCTGGATGACTAGCTCGTCTGGGGCAAACCTGTGAACTGCCATGCCTTCCCCCTCGCCTTCGGACACCAACACAGTCTCTTGAAGCTCCACAACAAACTCCTGCCCGCCGGCACCACCGTCATCTGGAAGAAACAGGATCACACCGTAAATCAGATGATTATGTGTGGTTGTTTCCTACCGACATAATGCAACCACAACATACCAAACAACACTTGTCCCATTATCTAGTTAATCAAAGAACCACTACCATGCGGTGTTACCATGAACTCACACATACCCCCAAAAACAAACTTTGTGTAAACAAAGACAGATTCAATATAAGCATGGTCAATTACCCGATCCGTGTAATATTATTTTGGGCTCTTCAGAATGTATTGCAAGCCTGGTGACATCCTCATCCATTGTCCTCACACTGCATTTGTTACTGAACAGCTGAAAGCAGATGACAGAGAGGTTTAGATATTTGGTGATAAAAACTGTTGGAAACAAAGCGTAACAGAAGAACCGTGAAAACTCAAATCTCCGTTGATAAGTTATTCATTAACATGCTGTTACTTACCAAAGTAACTTACTAAATCTCACTTATTATTTAATACATGTATAGTCATTTTCCTTCAATATGATGCTCCTTAAAAGCAGACTGGACCAATGCACTGCAGCAGGTGACTTAAGTCAACAAACTGTATAATATAGAATGATACGTACTGACAACTGTCTTAAAAAGTTGTTTTTTCTTTGTACTGCGTTCGAACTGTGAATCTCAAGCAATTGAATCTGCATCCAGAACTCATGAACGCTCATGGTCCTTCATGTGATTTTAAACTATTTGAAATTGTATAACAGAAAAACACTTTACTTATTATTCATTGAATCAGCACTAGTATTCAATATCCTTCCATAATAAGACATGCATTTGCATAATACATATTGTATTAATATTAGGTAATTGTTAGTTGAAGCCATAGTAACTTCTGTTTAATAGCCCACTGTGCTTTGTTGTGGGTTCCTCTGTAGAGAGCCTCATTTGTTTTGGCTTTTTATTCCACACAAACAAAGATAGAAAATAAGATAAGGACACCTGATATTGTAAAGAAATGCCCTGGAGAGAAATCTGGCCTCACAGGCAAATAGAGCATTTCTAGAGGGGAAACACACAACCGAATAAATTACTATTAAAGAAGATAGTTTTCCAGTGTTAGCTTGTGTCTGCAGCAAAGGACAGCAAGTGAAATGGCAAATTTGTCACTACCATAGCTACCAAAACTAAACAAATACTTCAGCCCAATTGGCACCAACATACCTTCACCATGGAGATAAAGGTGAGATAGCATGTGATAAAAATGTCTCCCTGTCTCTCACACACACGGGGATGCAGAGATGTAAACAGTGGTGTGGACGATGCTGCCAGGGTGCCATTTAATTTACACTGAACGTACCATCCCCCACCTCCAGGTGGAAAATGATGGCAAGGTTGTGAGGCGTTGTGGCGCACAACAGTGCATCAAGTGTGGTGAAAGATGAAGCAAACACATTAAAACCTACCATTGTGATCGGGCTGAGTTAGATACTCATTCATGTCAGACTAAACCAACGGTTACCGTTAACGGTAATGTCTTCAACTGACCACTTGAGCAGCGTTGCCACTGAATACACACGCACAGTCCCGATTGACGCGGACAAAACACAGATTGCACAGACATGTTTTTAGTAACATAAAACTATGAAATAGTAAGGGATGTTACGTTAGTTCTACACTGAAGCGGCTCTGTAGTAGCCAGCTAGCGGGAAAATTGCTAAACACACACACATACACACTCGTTTTCCACAACAGATTTTCATTAGACAGCCGTTAGCGTCCGCCATTTTGTTAGCTTGATGTCTGGACGAATGCTAATTTTAACACCGATTAAAAATACCCCTTTGGCGATGAGGAATGGTAAATGCGCTTCTGCAGAATGCTGTAATGCACATTTACTGTTAAATAAAATTACAATAACGTGAGCCAGCGACGACTGGCGCCTACATAAAACCCGCTCCTTTAAGCGGGCTGGCTAGCTAACCGGATAGGCCTGAATTACCAATTACGGCCTCTGTTGAGGCCCGGGCCTGAGAAGAAAAGGCCCAACCCTTTGCGGCCTCTCGGTGACAATGAAGAAATAAATTAAAATACCACATGCATGCAAAAACAAAGAAACACGCACACATGCAAACATAACTCTGCAAACGGGAGCAAAAAACGACCCGCGTACCAGATGTATGCTGCAGGGATGGCCTCCGTCCGCACCTCGGCTTCCCCGGCCGCCTGGTTCCCCCAGACTCGGGCAGGATTCAGTCGGGAATTTTGTGTTATTTGGGCGGGCCGGAGAGGCGCAGAGAAGGAGGGGTTATGGGTTGTTTCTGGAGCTCCGCTGAAAGCAAAGCAGGACGTCTGGAGCCAGATCTTGTCATGCTACAGCCCCCCGCTCCTCCAGCTCCGAGGCCGCCGTCAGCACGACACGTCACAGCCCGATAGCAGCAGGAAAATGCGGAAGGGTTGTGGTGGAAATCACACCGGCAGGCACCAAACAGGCCATAATCTGAGGACGGCTGTTCAGACGGGGTTTCGTCAAAACGTGCAGTGTGGCGTTAATTTTAATTAGTTTATGCCCCGAGGTTGGTTTAGCTAGTAATGGGTCGAGGACTGCTTCGGTTCCCCAAACAGCAGACTTGTATGCGACGGAGAGGTGGACAATAAAAAGTGATTAAACTATGACCTCCAGACGGAGAGTACCCAACATTTAAACAAACCGCTGACTAGTTTTCCACCCTGTCACAGTATCAGTTTAATCGCAACTGTAGTTTCAACCAAATTGTTTCTTCACAATAACCTCAGCTTCCTGGTCAAAAATAAGAAATGGTTTTAGAATTATTTTTTATAAAAAGACTATTTAATTGCAAGTTAATGACTACTTTAATAGAGTATTTAACTTTTAATAGAGTATCTATACATTTTTACTTAAATACATTGAACTGACAGTTTATTTACAAATTAATATAGGCTATTATATACAAAGTGTTTATCTACTTTCAACACATTTGTTTAAAATCAAACATTTAACAAATGTGGAATAGTTAAAATTAGCCCCCAGTTTATAGTAGTAATAATCAAATATCACAATATATAATACATAGTACTGACAGGGACCATTCTGCTGCACAATGAGTACTTTTAATTGTGTTACTTTAAATACATTTAGCTGATAATACTTCTCTACTTTATAAAGCAACATATTCAAAACCAGACTTTTGCTTTAAGTTTTACTTAAAGGATCTCAGACCTTCAACTACTGATAATAAACTACTGGCACATGAGTTATTTGAAGTTATTTTAAAAAGTATGGATTTATTGTAATGGCAATACAAAATATGATTGCTAAACAAAAACTTTGTGGCTTTTCTCAAATGTTTACATCATTTTACTATTACAGGCCTCTGAGTGTATAGTAAGAATATTCCCAAACCTCATGTGTTCATTCACTGATCAGCAAAGATTCAGATGAGCGGAAAACCACTTAATTATCGAAGACAGATTTACTGACCAAACAAAACATGATTATTGCCAATACCAACAGTCAGTACGAGTCAATACACAGAAAACTCCATCTGGCAGTTATTTTAAGCAGATCCTTCTTAGAGGAGAGCTGCTCCTCTTCGCTTGTAGAACTCACTAGTCTTTGAGTTGTTTTGTGCTACGGAGATGCTGCTACAGCGAGTCTTTACTGCTGTCTACTGGTGGAAAAAAAATAGGACATATGAAGTATTGAATACAGTCTGTCACTTGAGAAGCTTTAGCTGTACGTTGGTAATGGTACCTCACTTCGAACCTTGATGATTTGTGAACCAATGCCGAAACCTGGTGAAAAAATTAACTGTGAAGAGTACAAATAACACTTAGTTCATGAGTGTGTGTAAAAATGCCCCTTCAGACTTTCTCTGTAACTCATTAACCTCAACCCTCATTATATGACAGCACTTGAGGAAAATCTTACCACAAACCTTCTCCTGTATGATGTATCATACCTTTCCAATCCAAAGGTCGTATGTGAAGTCGTGCAAAGCCAATCACAGTGTGCCCTAGAGGAAAACCCCATGAGTGAAGAGTTGAATTTTAAGCGTTGACCTATTCCTTAAGGAATACGATTTCTAAATTGTAAAGTTGTGTGTTAAGAGAAATGTCTTTACCTTCTGAGCTCTGCTCTTTTGGGACTTCAGCAATAAAACAGTAGGATGATCATCAAAGCCGTCTTCAATTAGATCTAGTGGGAAATTGATTTTATGAGAATGTATGAAGATTTAAAACATTAAAAGTTAAAAGGTTAAAGTATCTTTCTTGGTCAGTGTGGCTTTGTCCTCCATCTCCATGAATTTTGCAAAATCCTAAAAGGCAAAAAAAAACAAGAAAGCGGTAGAATTATAACAGTTTTCTTTTCAAATGGCCCAAACTTCCTATTGTTGGGTATTCACCTGAACAATAAACTGGTTCACAAATGCACTTCACAAAAAGGGACAGAGCCGACTCTATCTGCGGAAGAGACTCAGGTCCTCGGGAGTGCAGGGAGCACTCCCGAGGACCTTTTCCGGAGTGGTCTGCTGGGGCAGCAGCATCTCGACTGCTGACAGGAAGAGACTCAACAGGCTGGTTAAGAAGGCCAGCTGTGTCCCGGGATGTCCTGCACCCGCAGTGTGTGAAGGACAGATACCACAGGTCCTTCCTTCCTCATACTGCACAATCAACAATGCTCCCAATACATGCACATGCCATAAACAGGAAAATGATTGCATGCTGATGCATGTTGTTGTTTACTATCTCCTTCTCCTGCGGAAAACTGAAAATTTCCCCACTGTGGGACTGATAAACGATTATTTTATTATTTTAGCTTGTTAAAATATTAGGCTTTAGCATTTGGCTTCCCTGAAAGAGTCGCATGATATCTGAGACATCGTTGGTTTCAGCTTTCCGTATTATAGAACTGGCCTGTGATGTGGCGACATCTTTGTTGTGATGATTAATGAGGAAAGCAGCTGTAAGTCAAATGTTTGGGACGTTGTGTTGATACTCCAGACGGACTCGCACAGTGACGCTTGGATAGAAACAGAATCAGAATTTCAAATTTGGTAGCTTCCCTTAAGATGATATTCTGCCGACTGTTTGGTGTGATCAAATGACAGCATGTCTTTTAGGGACAACGGATAGTTAGTGTCTAGTTTTCGGCATCAAGTTTTATGCAATCGTGTGTCTGCTACTATGTACAAACCATAATCCTCCCTCACAAACATGATATTTCAGTTGCAAAGCCTAATCAGGCAATCATAATCTTCTCAAAAAGTTTGGTCATTTGTACATAAGTGCTAGTTGGACATTTCTTGTTCGCAGTATTCTTAAATTAGTGTTATAAGCTTAGCGAACGTCCAGAAATTACTTAAACTCCATTACTTTTCTTTAACTTTGCAGAATATCACATAATGTTATTTTCATTATTCATCTACGTTTTCAGTTAATGTTCCCCACACGCAAAACCTCAGCCCAGGCATGTTGTTTGATACGTTTCTCACTTTTATTACTACACTTCCATTCTCCTGTTCCCTCATTATTTAGGACAAGGCAGTAAAGCGATGTTGTTTGTCATTTATTTAAATATGAATAAACCCGCAGCTGTGTTTACCGCACATACACATCGCAGCAAATTCAAAACAGATAACTGGTCCAGCAAGTATGCCAATATGTCGGATGACTCTTTGTTAGTTGTTTCTCCAGTTAGAGCAGTCACCTAATGAAACCAACAGAGTAGACAGACAGCGTTTTAGGAAAACACATTTTATTTGGACTTTCAGTAAGTGATGGATTTCACAGACTTGGACGACAGGAACGCAGATCAGTTGAGTTTATCAAAATACTTCAGCTTGCCTGAAGGGTCGGGAATGATCTGTGGGAGAGAATTCATTAAATTAGTGCACAATGAGTGATAGAAATATACTATGTGTATGCTCTGAATCAGGCTGTGACTAATGCAGATCCCTGACAACAAACTAGCCCTGCTTTCCGTGTGTTTCCCGAATATTAGTAAATTAGTAAATCTCCTGTGAGGCCACAAACTAAATAGTCAGGCAATGGTCACCGTCCACTTCTCTGAACCTGAAATGTAAATGCTTTTTGCAAAACTGGACACAAAGACTGATTTGCAAACACGTGGTTCTCGATCTGAGATCGTCGATGTGTCGTTGAACAACACTAGTTAATGACCAAGGATCCAAATCAGTCAGTGATACTCACTGTGTCACTGCCAGGCTTCCATCCGGCTGGACAAACTGTAAGACAATGACACAATTGCAGTCAGCACAAGTAAAATAGCTAAAAAAAAAATTCACTGAGATACACACTGAAAACCAGCTATTAATTTCCTGGTACTGCCGGTAAAATGAGCTCGTCGTACCTTCTCCGTGTTTGTCAGTGTACTGGAAGGCCTGCACGAGCCGCAGAGTCTCATCCACAGATCTTCCCACCGGAAGATCGTTCATGGTGATCTGCCTCAAGGTGCCTTTGTCATCAATGATGAAGAGTCCTCTGAGAGAGAGAGACGGACAGATAAGTGAGACTCAAGAATGACTTCTTAAAATAACCAGCTAAGTTATGAAGCACATTGCAGACGCATCACATGTCATTCGTATACATTTTAAAGTGTTTCATACCTATAACTTATCGGCTTTTGTTCTCCCAGAGTGGCGCAACATTGTTTCATTAAGTTAAATCGCCTATAAAAACATAGAGAAAGGCCATAACAGTGAAAGTGAAACCGTACCTCAGTGTGTGTCCCTGGTCCTCCAGGTAGACTCCGTAGTCTTTGGCAATCTGGTGAGTGAGGTCAGACAGCAGAGGTATTCTCATCGGTCCAAGTCCACCCTGCTTTCTGGGCGTATTGATCCTGTTAATAACAAGAAAATATAAAGCTATGTTCTGAGTGTACAATTCATATAAATGATTCACACCTTAACATCAGCTTGAACCCCCTAAAATTAATTTAGTGAAATTCCAAAGTATTTTGATAATTATTCCACTTAAGGACGTCTTTTGTTATTAGGTTTTGTCTTAAGTCTGAGTGCATCTTGTCGGTGTAACGGGGACACGATCTTACCAGGCCAGGTGGGTGAACTGGGAGTCGACAGAGCAGGCGACCACCTCTGTGTTGACGGCTTTAAACTCGTTCATGCGATCACTGAATGCAATGATCTCAGTGGGGCAGACAAATGTGCTGCAAAAGACGGAGCACATTTACATGAGGACCGACTGTTGTGCAACAACACAAATGAAGTGATTATGTCATGTGTGTCTCAGATGTTACTCACAAGTCCAGAGGATAGAAGAAGAAGACGAGATATTTGCCTTTGTAGTCCGACAGCTTCGTCTCCTTGAATTCACCATTAATGACGGCTGTTCCTTCCCAGTGCGGCGCGGGCTTTGAAACTTAGGTAGGAAGAAAAATATGTGGATTGATGAAACCAGGAATTATTACTTTAACTTTAAAACATCTATGATATGTGTTTAGATGCTGCAAATGACTACATGTAACATGGTTATATCAACATAAATGTGCCGGGAAAAATTAAAGACAGTATAATTTTCTTTTTATTACTTTCAATTCTGTATCTTCATTTGTATTATTTATGTTTCTATTCAGATTTTGTTCTGCATTATGTCATGTCCCATATGGCTCAGTATTATGCACATTTGCTCTTTGTTTGTATTATTTTCTTATACCTACTGTATATGCTTTTTGAAACGCTTCTCTAAAATGATATATTTTGTTCTCTATTCCAGTCCAAGAGTAAGGTAAAATAACTACACTAAAATAGAAAAAGTATATCACAGCGACATAAGAATAAAAACAGGAGAAAAATATAAAATGTATAAGAAGCAATACTGACACCAGTGTCTAATAAAAACTAAAATAGTGAAGTAATATTGGCAATGATATTGAAAAGTAATATTGCACGTGATATGGATATTTATGTTCGCTTATAAATGTTAAAATCTTTACTGTCCTGCCCTGCTTTGCAGTTTTCCTATCTGACATAAAATGCCATCATTCATGTGAAGACACTTAAACACTTACATTTGCTTACAGGACTGCATTTCATATGAACGTATACATGTGCTCGTGAGTTTTATAGACGTCTTCGATGGTTTTCTAAGTTATCAGCAGTGTTGGTCATGTGTCGAAGGGGCGGAGGGAGACGCAATCCAATGAATTTTACACAATGACGTGTCCTTAAAAAAAACATCTGCTTACAAGTCAGGCCTCCTGTGTGAGTGACACCAACATCTTAAAACGGTCAACTAAGAATTAAACAATAAGACACAGCCAATAAAATGCGAGCACAAGCTGCAGAAGGACGGACACTGTCTGTAAGTTGCATGGTCCTGACAGCAGGACGGATCACCACGCTGAAGCTGCAGGAAGAATAACAATATCACTGCGCACTTTCGTTACGCAGGCGCCAACTTTCCACCTCTGGATGAACTCACGAGACAAAACTTACTCTTGGCTTTGCTGAGGTGCAGGGAATGGTCGGACACTGGCACGCGGAAAGCCTCTCCGGGATAGACGTGTCCTCCCGCGTAGTTGTGACACTGGGAGTTTTTCACATTAGCGCCTTCGTCTGCAGATGAAGTGGTGAGGAGGAGGAGAGCGGCGCAGAGCGCGCGGAAAAGCTCCTTCTGTATATTAGTGTGCAAGAGAAACTCCATGGCGTCGTCGCTTTGAGCGCACCCGACCAGTGAATGGGGAATGTGTTTCAGCCTTTTGGGCAGGATTTAAGGAGCCTTCTTCCTCCTCTTCCTCTTCTTCTTCTCGATCCAGGTTTTGCAGCAGCTTGCATCCTTGTCGTTGCATTACTGCCATCTTCTGGAGCCAATTAGCTCCCGACGCCCCACTTCCTCTTACCACATTATTTCTCTTTTGACCCACTACCCTTAATAAATAGACAGAAAAGAAATACAACTGCCTGGCCATAATTCCACAAACCTTTTCTTCCTTAGCTCCATGTCTCAGTGCATACATCTACTTTTAAATGCTTGACATTTATCACAAACTTTAAGTGGTTTTGCTTCCATTAGTCCTTACTTTTTCTAATTATTTCTTTATCTAGTTTTATCTGAAATAGTATTATTGATTCTCTTCACTTTGTCTATATTTGATCTTTATTCTTATTTGAAGTCACCCGACATGGGACTTAATACTCACCCTAAAAAAAATATTCAAATGTCCAAAAAATAGTAACGGTGCTACCTCTACTGGTATTGTCCTCCTATATGAAAAGGTATTAAGTTGAAAGCCACACCCTATTGCATCTATTAACCAGTAATTACTTTGTTGAAAAAGTAACATGCATTGACTACTGTTCATTAAACAGTCAAAGTTGAGAAAAAGAAGAGTACAAAAACTCAGTATCTTAGTCTTTTTATTACAGGGACACACATAAAACAAAAGGTTTCCATAGAGTGTTTGCCTGCGTCGATGTAACAACAAATACTCCCACTGTGGGTATTTGCAGCTGTACGAAGACAGGTACTGACATTTCAAAGTTTAGTCCATCTTCTTATTTGACTAAATACTTTTCACATTACAACGAAAAGGTTTCTATTTTGCTACCCGAGCTGTCAGCAGTCATTTTCCTTTTATTTTAACAATAATGTGTTAAAGTACTTGACAAGAAAAAATAGACTGAAGTTTAAAATATCCATGCATCTCTGTACATTTGAGCCAATAATGTACCACGGCTGATGTGGTCAAATAGCACAAGACATTTAAGTAGCCCATAAAGCTACTTAACCAACAATACTTAACCCAACATCCCTCTTTGATTTGGAAACTTGATGTGAACAGAGAAGCTCATCTGATGAACTTTTTGCCAGGCACGTTTGGTTTGGCAAGACAAATTGAAATATTTCAAACTTTTCCCTCGGTATTCCCTACACACTCTCTCACATACAGTATTTTGAAAGAAATATAAATGGTCTTTAAGCTGCTGTCTTTTATGGTGTCTTTGTAACAAGGGGTTAAATAATAATTTAAAAAAAAAAAGACAAGAACTAGTTAACTCAAAGTGAATGATTTATCACGTACACTTCAGTATAGAGTACAAAGCCGATTTTTACAGGTCAGTCTCTTTATGAGATGAACAGTGATGGATGGACACTTCATTACACCTCAAAGGTGACCAGAGAAAACCATCAAACAAGCAGATTTACAATCCACTAAATGTATTCACTTAGGGCCAGATTTACAAAAACCTTCTGACTAAATGCTTAATGTTAAGAGACCTCGAGATTCCTTAAAATAGCTTCAGTAACGTATTGAGCTTCCCTCTAAAATAAATAGAATTACTCACAGGTATTAATTCATATCGTCTGGTGCATGTACTTCATACAGGAGGAGAAGACTTTAAATAATCCACCAACGTCAGGGATGGTGATTGTAATTACGACAGCTATACAATAGGCGAGTTGGCTACCAAGTTAATATTTTTACTAAAACTATAAATAAATATGGGACAGAATTTCATGACACTATGGAACACTGTGACAAAAAAAAAAAAAAGACTTTAGGGTGTTTTGTCCACTGAAACCGTTGAACGAGTATCCAGTTTAGTGTCTTTGTTAATCTTGGTTTCATCCTCAGAACATTTTTGTGAATGTGGCCCAACTGTTAAACTGTACAGTATCGAAATAAATGTACTTGTTGATGGTTCGAGCTCTGGGTCCGAGGCACCATTTTATGGTACATTGTATGATGTGTGTGTATATGTGAGGGGCAGCTAATATATTACTGGGTGAATGACGTGACGAAAACAGTGGGTGATAAAACTTTAGCCAACAGACTTCAGCTTGGTCCACGGGTTCGTGCTGCGCACCTCCAGCGGTGGGTTGTTGTGAAACATATGGTCGCACAATTCTTCCAGTGGGGGTTCAGGATCCGTGGTGGCAAACTGAGCAGCATCTTCAATTTCCTTCCTCACCGACACGTCGATCTCCTACAGACACATTGAGACACAAGATTATAGGCATTTGCTGTCGGACTTTTTAGTGTACAGTGTACAATATCTTCAGTGGACAACTTGTCCTAGCAGCATATTTATTTGTATCGAACAAACTGAAGATATTTGCTACCTTGAGCTCCTCCACGCTGGCCATGTTGTTGCTGAGCATGCGGTCCTTCAGCAAGGAGATGGGGTCGCTCTTACCACGGACCTCCTGGATCTCATCACGCGTGCGGTAGCTGAGAGGAGAGAGATTGGTGCAGGGATGTTGTGGGGATGCACTAATACAATATATTCTTTTAAACCCGACACCAAAATGCAAGTGCTACAACTTCATGATTTGAAAATCTGGGTATAGCAAGTCCACTACAGCGGGAAGGAGGGTACATGGAGACTACTGTGGGACAGTGGCAGAAGCAAGGGGCAGCAGCACAGTGAAGACGAGATTGGGAGGTCAGATTATTAATCAATTAAGAAGTGCTGTACAGATATTACACGTGTAGTAATTAGTTACAGCAAATACTTACATTTGAACAAATAAAAAATGACAAAAGATGATCCTTTACCTGACACCAGGATCACTCATACTGTGTCCATGGTAGCGGTAGGTCTGAAGCTCCATGAGAATGGGACCCTGGTGAAAAGTAGGACAAAAATAACTGATGGCTACCTGATGATCCAATGTCCCGCTTGATATAATTCAATGTTTTCAACTCACCTTCCCAGCTCGGCAGTGATCCGCTGCGAGCTTGGTTGCTTCCCGAACACACAGGACATCCATCCCATCCACCTGGACACAAGAACAAATCCCCCAAATGTCATTTAATTATGATGCGCTCCTTTCAGGAAACACGTTATAGTCATTTTGTATAACAACGATAACAACACCCACCAACCAACACTTTTTAAAAACAAGTTTCACATCTCAAAAAATAATAAGTGAGTTTGTATAAAGGGCATTGTGTCGTTTGTGGAAGTGGCAGACATATCTTGCTCAAATTCACTAAACTAAACTAATTCTATTGTCTGTTTATTAGTCTGTTTTATGAATGGCGGGGGGTTAAAAGAGTAAAACCAGTACCCGGAGACCGGGGATGTAGTCTCCTCTCTTGTAGTAGTCGGTGCTGGCTGCAGACCTCTCCACTGAGGTGCCCATGGCATACCGGTTGTTCTCACAGATGAAGATGGCGGGCAGCTTCCAGAGTGCTGCCATGTTGTAGGTTTCAAAAATCTGACCCTGTGAAAGACAGAAAGCATGTCTTAACATAGCACAAACGTATGATGGCGCTTTGTTTTGTTGACATCATTGAGCTTAAACTAGAAGAACAAAGCAAAGTAGATCTTAAACACGTCTGTTTATACAGACAGCTTAGGAAGCGTCTTATTGGATCTTTTTGGGGAGTTGTACCATTTCACTCCTTATGACAAACCGTATGTTCCATAAGTAGACTTAGTTCAATGTAATGTATTTATCAATAAACTTGCCAATCCAATGTTTTCCTGTTTCCCTTGAACATGATGAGCAGGTTAGAGCACAGAGGAACAGTACAGTAGTAAAGTAAAACCTTCACTACTGAAGAAAGATGGCCCCCTACTTGTGAACGAAGCTGCTGTTGATTTCGTCCATTAATTAAACATAGCTCGACTAAAACCTCTTTCTGTGCAATACCTGGTTGGCAGCGCCGTCACCGTAGAGACTGACACTCAGCTCATTGTTGCCCAGATACTTGCAGGCCAGAGCCACACCAGCACCCAGGGGAACCTGAGGAGAATTCAGAGACGTCTCAGGTTACATGATGTAAATCTTAATGTAGAAGGGCCTGTGTCAACATAGCGATTTTTTTCCTGAGGGCCAGCGGTTTTATTTTCCACTGAGGAGAGAGTGTTTGTGACTGTCTAGAGAAGAAGCGCTGCACCCAGCATCTTTTTTTTTCTGAGCACTCTGGGTGTTTTTGTGCAGCCGCTTCGAGATCCTCTTTTTGAAAATCTCTGAACTTATCAGAAAAGCGCTGGTTATGTCACTGTAGTAGAAAATGGAGGAAAAAGCTTGTTTTGGCAACGTTTGTCTATCCTGAAAATGTATATGTCCCACAGACACTATCATAACAAAGAGCCCATCTGAGGGAGCTGATCGGCTGGGCGGACACTTAATGTTGCCAGAGAGTCTCATGCTTACATCACAACATGCTACATCGACACAGGCCCTAAAGCTCTCTTTTAAAACAACATAAGAAGCTGCTTCAAGAAACACAGAATCTTATGTTCTTGTGATTCGTTTGGTGCTCACATAACGTCGTCTGGGTGCTGCCTCAAGTTCAGTGTTAACTTATGAATGATAAAACAGATAATCAACAATTTGTTGTTAGTTTCTTGCCATAATATTTCTAGAAAGTTTGTGACTGAATTTCAGAAAACTATAAAAGCAGATCTACCAGTTAAACCTGCTTTTAGTCGTCACACTGACATACTGTTAGGACATGCAAATCTATGTTCAAACCCATTTCTGTGACATACCTGCGCTCCAACAATTCCATTTCCTCCATAGAAGTTTTTAGTGTACATGTGCATAGAGCCTCCTTTGCCCTTTGCAATTCCACTTCTTCTGCCTGTAAATTAAAAAAAACCTCTCAGAATCAACAGTGATGGAGCTCAAAAATCATCTCAGAAACTAAAATGTCTCAGCGTTGCACACTGACCGGTGAGCTCAGCCATGATCTGCTTCACAGTCCCTCCTCTGGTGTACGTGTAGCCGTGGGCGCGGTACGCAGTGATCAGGTGGTCCGTCAAATTAATTCCTGCTTCGATACCAACTGCACAGGCTTCCTACAAGGACCGAAAAAACAAATAAATCAGAGATATTAATCGTCAGTTTTAAAGTAATATATGATATCCGGTTGCATTTCAAAACAGACTTTACTTTAATGCCATTATATGTTCTTTCCAGAGCAGCAAACATAAATATTGCTATAACATAGAAGTGAAACTCCAGCATCTAGTCTAGGAACAGTTATAGGTCACTCTACCTGGCCGTCATACAAGTGGCAGAACCCTCTGATGATCTTCTGCTTGTACAGCTGATCTGCTTTCAGCTCCATACGCCTGATGGTCTGCATGACGCGGTAGTACTGCAGACCCTCGTCACGAGTCATAACCACTTGAGTGGCCGGAGCCTCATCCAGCTTGTGGATGTCACATTTCTAGAGGGAAGAAAAAAAAAACATAAAACACACAACCTGCCATGTGTGTTGGATCAGTATGGCAGAAAAAAGAACTCCTCAATGTTTAAAGCTTACCTTTATTTCAAAGGTGGCCTCGGTTGTGAAGTCGGCGTACGTGCGCGCTGACACGACCGCTGCAGCTCCCTGCCGTGGGAAACAAAGATTTTTTACATTTTTACATCAACACTAGAGCCAAAAACGACTTCTGAGTTTCAATATTGACACAAAACAATACTTTATTTCTTACTGTAGAATATATGCATTCTGTGAAAAGGCTTTTTTTCCATTCAACAAAATAAGTCAAAAGTTGTAGATAGATAAAGATAGATAGATACTTTATTAATCCCAGAAGGGGACATTTTTTCGCTACAGCAGCATTTATGGTACAGGTAAAGCAATAAAATATATTAAAAATAAAAAATATAAAATATAAAAATGCACAATATATACAATAAAAGTAAGTATTCAATGAAATAGAATAATATTAAAATTAACCAATTAATTAAATGTACTAAACACAAGCAGCTGTAGTGGAGCTTTGTCTAAACAGAATATGGATTTAAATCAGGACCTTTATGACCAACAATAGGTAAACAACAGTACGAGTCTGACCAGACATTTGATGGCAGCTTTCAGTACTTGACATTCTGCACATAACACATTTGGGTTGGTACCAAAAAGAGTACCGAGGGTTGACACCCAGATCTAGCATCTGCTACCGTTTAGTGAGACTAAATTAACGTTACGCAAAATGTGCGTTATGGATAAAATACGTGACACGGCATTTAAAACCCAAACCGCTGAAGCTATCATTAAGAGTTTTGATTAATGTGCAGACTTTAGCTCTGTTAGCAAAACAAGCTATCACTCGGCCTCACAAGGTCAGGACAGCGATGACAGTTGTTTTGGGTGAACGCTGGAGGTCTCAGAGGGAGACTGTCATGCAGTGATTGGCTAACACCGTCCGTTATTTAGATTGTATGTACTCACATTTCTCTGAGCACAAGCCCTCAGCACGTTAGAGATATTGGTCAGCATCTTTCCTGAGCTAGCTCACAACAATCCACACAGGGAACGGCTAGGTCCTTCTGTCAAGCGACATCCTTCCGGCTCCGCGCTTCTTCTTCTTCTTCTTTGTTGGTTTTAAACGCGTGCAGCTCACTGCTTCCTCGCTCTGGACGGAGGAGTCACCACATCTCCTGATGGCACACATCGTTGGATATAGGGAGTATATTCTGAAGAAAATAAATTATATATTTTTAGCAAATTGGCTTCTATATTTACTCTCCCCCGCAGAGTCTTAAAGAATAAGTATCCACTCCCAACTTGGCCACTTTGAGTGGCCACCTTGTGTTTCATCCACAGGGCCCTTGACTTGATATCATCTAACTTGACTAAACTATGACTGTTGACTTGGTTGAATGGAAAAAAGAATGTCTGTCCGTTTCCTCCTCCTCCCACTCTCTCTGCCATTTCTTACTTATTCTATCTCTGTATACTACCACTCATTTCTGCCAAAAGAAACTCTGACACCAATGTCCCCCTATCTTAATGCTGCCTTGGCCATTCTGCTATCTCATTTCCCTCTATCCCTACATGGACCCATAACCCGCATTGCATCAGTGCCTCTCCGGCCTATAAATCTGTGTCAGGATTTTCTCCACCAGGTCTGGCCTTTGCCCTCAATCTCTCCCAGCTGATTACAATCAGGGAAGCAGCACAGTCTGAACACAAAACTGCCCCCACTGCTCTCCTTATATCCAAATCTAGCATTAATATGTACTCAATTATAGAAAGTGCCAGCCTAAATCTCCTTTGGTAAGGGGGGAAAACCCTCCTCTCAATATAAACTAGCACACCATTCTCTCCATTGTTTTACACAACACTGATGGGAGGGCAATGGACCTGTAATATCCTGGACTATTTGCAACTTTAATATTGGTAATATCACTGCACGTTTCCAATTCGCAGGCAACTGCTCCGCCAATCCCCACTAGGAGCAAACACCACGCAGCTGGAGGCCGAGGCCATATTGCTGGGCCTGCTGGAGAGAAGCGAGGCACAGGAGCATCAGAATCTGGACTGAGCAGAGCAGATTGTCAGACCCCTGTTGCAATGAAATGAGAGGTTTTGTAAAGGGGACGTGGTGCACGGAAACACTACCACTTTTGTCCACAGGGACTGCCAAAATCTACACAAAATGAAAGCTCCTTGTTGTAGCTTTAAAGAGGGCCTGGGTCTCGAGGGAGGCCAACCTGAACATTTGAAATTAACACTTGTGACTGTTAGAATAGATATCCGCACAATTAGATCTATACAGAGTACACTTTATTTGAGCTTTCGGTCCAAAAGACTTTCATCAGAGCAGTTATCCTGTAGTTAAATAGTGTGGCACCATATTCTGTAACCCATCATATTCTGTGACCTGATTAGAGATTTCAGAAATAACAAGAGCCTTCAGGTCACAGCTGCTTTATTGTCCTGTCAAATTCATTTTTAAAGCTTAACCTCATATTAGTACATATTCTTAAATTCATGTATTATCTGACTCACAGTAAACCTGGGATGTGCTTCAACAGAAGGAATACAAGTTGTTTTTTGGACTACAGACAAAATAATGCTGACATGTGTAGTCTGCAGTGCACTTTAGTTGATGGGCACTTAAAGACAATATTACCTTCACTCAGTGCAGAGAGTTGGAAGAATGGGGAGCATTTGGGGGCCCGCAGCTCATTTCTGCCCCAAGGCCCTGAACCAACTGTGACGACTGCAAAGGCTTTTATCATGGTCAGATACTGTCAAAACTACTATTCAAACAGGTGAATACATCTATGCTGGATGGTTCACAAAGCTGTGATAGCAGAATGGTGCTTGGTGTACAGACCTGTGTGTGCACCACTAACCCTTAGCCGTCAATATTTGTTCGATCAATGAGCCTTTTTTTAATTCATGGCTCTCCCAGATTGATCTTTTAAAAAATGCAAACAGAAAATGCAACTGTACTGCTACTAATAACAACAGCAACAATAATAATGATAATAATAACAATTAATAATTGTTATTATTTACAGTATTTTTTTCAAATATCTTCAAGTGAGATTTAAGAGTGAGGGGGACTAATCGAGACTTCAATCTACTTTCAAGGTAATCTGTGGTTAACTTCTTGTGTGTTATGATAAAATCAAGTTCGGAAACAGTTAATTGTTGCATTAATGTATCTACAGTGCAAACTCGACCTATAGGCGAGCACGCAGTGTTTCTGCGTGTTGTCCATCAGCCTGTTGTTGCATTAAAGCAGCTAAATTTGGTTTGAGCTGCGCGCACAGAGGAAGTCCCCCCCCCCCACATCCACCGGTGAATTGCTGATGGCTTGTGTACCAGGGCGGGCTTATACGCTGCGACGCACAGTGTGTTCGGTCGGTCGGTACACTCGATTGTGTGCGCATCATCGTCTCCGCTCCAGCCCCTGCATCTCTCTCCTCCATTCACACACATAATACTCTCGTGTCCTGCCCGTCATCTCCAGCCTGCACAATGACCTTCAGACCAGTTGAATGGTGTGTGCTTGTTTCTTCCCGCTGTGGCTGTGCGTATTGCTGCTGCCGCGGAGGGCAACGTTAACCTGTGCTGCATTGACATCACTGCGGACTGTTTTGGGTGACAGCACGTCCATTCATTCGAGTGTATTGTTCCTGTGACAGCTGCTATGGCGAAAACAGCCACATCATCCAGTGAAATAGCAGGTGAGCTTGATGTAACGTTTGTTAGGTTTGGTGTCATCGCGCTGTCGGGATCTGTTGTGTTTGCTCCTCGATTTAGAGCAGACTCATGAATGACGCAATTGACAAATCCACTGCTTTTGTGCACGATGCAGGCTGTGCGGTCATGATCCGGCACCACTGTTTTGTTTATTCTCTGAGGCTCTGATCAGATTGTTTTCAATGGAAGCAGGTCTAAAATGTGCACTTTTTAATTTCCTTTAGAATAAACGCAAAACCCCAGCCGTTTTTTTTTTTTATCACGAGTGAAAGTGAGCAAAACAGAACTGGGGTGCATCTTTTGTGTGATTCTGTCCTCTGCCATAGTTTCACAATTTATCATCATTACAGATTTAAGTCACTTTCAAGCAAAATCATGTGTGTAGCCGTTTTTTGGTGATGACGCAACTCAATTGGATAAAAGGGTTCAAATGGGTAGAGAGAGGACGGCTGGGTTGTTTCCTAAGACACAGGCACATGGATTATACTGTGTATTTTGTTTGAGCATCAAATCATTTCGGGATGACTTTGTGGGTTGAAGGACTGGGTCTCAAATTGCATTTACCCTCTATGCTCTGAAAGAAGGAAAATCTCCCTGCAGATTGATAATCAAATTTGACACAATTATGTGTAACTCTATCCAGACAGGAGAAAAGACTTTCCTCTGTCACATTAGCTGCTTCATTGAGAAAGTACTAGGTGAAGAGGCATTTTATGTTGGAACTCTTCAAGAAGAAAATCATCAATGTTTGACTTTTTGTCTATGGAAGCATCTTGTGCACACTATTTTGTTTTTACAGCTTGTATTTTTACAATAACAGGGTTAATGTTACAGAATAATGTCTGGACAGCTCTATAAAATAAATACATAACAGAGTATGAGGGATATTCCCCTCATAATAAAAGCTATATAGCTACCACTGTCACACTGTTAGTACTGTAGAAATCAATAACATGTCATCTTGGAAAATGATAAATGGTACAAGCATGATGAATATGTTACGTTAAGTCAGGAGAGCATAAAAGTTTAGGTCAAGTGAAAAAAACAGCTCTCCTGTCTGACATCAGCTAAACCACATTGAAAAGGCCAGTGTGTAGGATTTAGAGGAATTTATTAGCAGAAATAAAATACAACATAACTGTTTTCATTGGTGTATAATCACCTGAAACTAAGAATTGTGTTTTTGTTAGCTTAGAATGAGCCTTCGTTTCTACATATGGGAGCGGGTCATCTTCATGGAGTCCGCCATGTTGCACCGTCATGTTTCTATAGTAGCCCAGAACTGACAAACCAAACACTGGCTCTTGGGAGAGTCTTTTGTGTTTTTTACGTTACCCGAAGGCCACCAAAGTTCTCCGACATGCTTACAAAGGGAGATGTGAGAGGAGAGGTTCAGTTGGTTGCATTCTGCAGCCTCACCACTACATGCCACTAAATCCTACACATTGGTCCTTTAAGAGGGCCTCGGTGTTGTCTCCTCGGTTTTAGTATACACAATAAAAGCCCTGATTGAAAAGAGAGAAATTCACTTGATTAAGTGAGGCAGTTACTATGGCAGCCACATATTCATTCAGTGCATTTTAAACGTCTTTTTATTTCTGTAGTTCACGTGGCAATTTAGTGGCACGTCCAAGATTTGGATGTCATTATTTGGAGACTGTTATCAACTCTTAATCACCATATTACATAATAGATGTGTCTAATACTTTTATCCTGTGATCTCACTCTGGTTTCCTTCATCTTCTATGTTCAACCATTTACAACCGTTGTGATATTGATGTGAGAATAGCAGCTTGCTGTTTCGATCAATGCTCCTTGTATTCTTCTGTTTGTTTTCTGCGTTAGGTGAAAAGATGGCATCACCGTCCATCACTCTACTTCCTGACAAGAGATCTCCGACAAACGGTCACAGCTCTCCAGCCCGAACTGGAAAAACTAGTGAGTAATCCTCTCCAGCTTTTGTCACACGATGTGCTCTTTCCTTCCAACTGCTTTCATCTGGATGAAAATGACTGACTACGCAGTTATTTGGATTATTACACCATTATATGACTCTGTAGGCCTATACAACAATCAGGCCTGCTCTGTTGTCAAGCAACATTAACCGAAAGAGGCATTCAGCATCTGTGGAGTGACTGTCACATCAAGGACAGCTTCCTCCCCTCTCCTGCATATTGCTGCAGTTTGCCCTAGGCATAGGGCTTCTCAGGCTTTTTGCAACACAATGCATTTAACATAGAGCAGCCCCACACAGAGATGACAAAATGTTTCCCTCTTCTGGTATCAAAGCAGCACTGCAGGTCAGTACTCTGGTGCTGATGTCATTCCTCTTTAGACCAGGCTGACTGTGCTCTCTCTCCTTCTGTCATGGTGATCCCAGCTCCATCTAACACAGAGAAGAAGCCACAAATAAATGGACACGCGTCGCCTTCACACATCAATAACAACCATGCAGGTAAACAAAGTAAGTCTCTATCTTTTGCTTCCATTAAATTGCTTTTCTCTCTTTCTCCTTTCCATGTTTTTTCTCTGACATCATTATTCATCTTTCAGTTGTGGAGGGTTATATGAAGACAGACGACAGGATGCGATTAGCCAAAGAGAGACGTGAGGAGCGGGAGAAAAGCCTGGGTAGGTTATGTCCTTTTCTTGTGCAAATAAACAGGCTGATTTGTTTGAACTGAGAAAATCTGAAATGCCTTTAAATTCCTGTTCCTGCTGGGATTATCTTTTCAGTGCAGTTTTCCCTGCAACGTTTTTTGTCGTGACATTTTTTTTCTCCACAGTTTAATTGGTTATGGAAGGACTTTGCTAGCCAGTAGAAGTTGAGTTCACTGGCTTTTTGATATGATGAGCTATGTCACTTGAGACAATGGGACAGTAACATAGGAAAGTCCACCAAAGTAGGTCATGTAATCATGCAGTCCCAGCAGTTGCCTCATGATGACAAGGGTTTCTATCTACATGATAGTCTCGCGTGTGTATTGACAGATACAAACTCACTACACACATAGAAGTTCAGATAATACTGAAGGATGTGATTAAAGAGTGTTTAGTTACATGAAAAATACACTGAAAATGATTTTGAAGAGAGAGATCAAAATTGATCAAATTCTTCTTGCAAAATAGTAAAACATCTTTTATTTCTTCCGTGGTATATATTCTGAACTCTACACGACCAGCCAAATAGTAAAAAGCCACCGGCAACCACACGGGACCATGAACTCAGATTTTTGTCCATGAAACCTGGAGCAGAATTTATCGTGTCTCTTTCAGTGGCCAGGGACGGGCTGATCAGGGAGAAGGAGCGCAGAGCTCGGCTGCAGTACGAACGCACAGTGGAGGAACGCTGGAGGCGGCTGGACGAGCAGAGGCAGAAAGAGGAGCTCCGCAGAGCTGCAGTGGAGGAGAAGAGGAGGCAGCAGCTCGAGGAGGACAGGGTCAGCTGACTTAACAAAAATCATAATGAATTCTAATCTAACTATACACTATTGCCTATCTCATTTGTGATTGTGTGTGTGTGAAAGATACATAGAAAGATTGTTCATGTGCCTCATCCCTGGCAGTGTGTAGAAATGACAAAAAAACAAAATAGTGAGGTGACAGTGTTCCAAATAAGCTGTGTTGTGTTCAGGAGCGACTGGAGGCCCTGATGAAACGCTCTCTGGAGCGCAGCCTTCAGCTGGAGCAGAGGACCAAACGCTGGAGCAGAGGCTGCCCAGCAGGAGCAGGTACAAAAGAGCTTACAGCTGCAAACAGAGGTGGTTTGGGATAGAAGAGGCATGGATGCAAGACCTGAATGACCTGAAACTGATAAGCAGCAGGATATGGGAGAACAGTTTTTTCCAGAGGGATTGCATTTTGCTGTATTTCTGTGAGACACCATGACACAGTATGCATGTGTGTATGTATGCTATAGGTTTGTCTGTGTGTGTGTGTAAAGGAGAGCCTTTCTCATGGCCCGATCATTGCTGATAGCCTGGCTGCTGAAGTATGCATGAGCAGAAATGTGTTCCTGGATTCCCACAGAGACGGGATGGCGTTACATATCTGCACTGGTGTCCATGTAGCACTAAATCACACCTTTTAAACTGTGGTGGATGATTGACATAATGGAGGTGGGAAAACAACACTGAAATTATCTGTGCTCATGACTGTCTGCCACAGTGACATTTACGATAGCCGCTGGGGAGTCACCACAGTTGGAGATTTTCAAAGCCTACTCAACGTAGCTTTAAATCAGACCAACATAAGGCATTACATCACACCATCCCTGCTGGTATGTTAACTCCCATCCAGGTCTTGACAGCTGGATGAGGAATTGCCCAGATAAACTGTTCATAACGCTCTGTCTGCTCTGCTCTGCTCCGCCCGCTGCCTATAGGTGACAGTGAGAATGCCCCACTCCCTTTCTCTGCTGCCTCCGCCTTTTCCCATGGCATTGCCTCCCCCCTTCCTGCTGTCAGCGAATCTGGTAAAGTTAAGCCCCCCACCCCCTGACCCTCCCAAATATATCACCCCTCCTGTTCAACCAACAGTTACCATTTTTGTGTTTGTCTGCCTTTTGGCAAGCTGAAACTTAGACCAAAGGCAAACATGTTCTTCCTGTGATGCATGCATGTTAAGCTGCCCTGTTGTTGAGCCTCTGTGCAAGTGAGATATAAAGTACTTCTGCAGGCTTAGGCTGGTATGTTTGCTGTGTTTGTGCTCTGCTGCAGTGGCTTTATTTTGAGCCACTGTCACAAAATGGAATAGCAACACTGTGGAGACAGGCTTCAGGGATGCAAATTAACAGGAACATGTTATCGGTGCAGGAGCATTTACTGGCACATATCCAAACTATAATGTAACCTCATATTCAGGCAAAAACAAGCGGAAACATTTCCATCTTCCTAATGTTCTCGAGGGACTTTTATTCTTCCCTCTCTTGAGAGGCAAACTCTGCATTATGTCTGCAAGCGGACCAGCATGCAGGAAAAAGAGGACAATAAGAAAAGGCAACAGCATCGGCTGAATCTTTTCAGCAGTAACATGTTTTGCTCCGTTAATTTGTCCCCTTCAGCCTGGCTTTCCTGTATGTTTGCTTAAGTAAGAACACATGTTCAGTATACATGACTCTCTTTCAAATTTCCCTAGAAGTCAAACTGCGGATTAGTTTCCCCAGATTAGTAACCTCTCACAAATTACAAACAGGCTAAAGGACAACAGATCAGAATGACTTGGAAATCTCAATGATCCTAAACACTAGAAGTATTATTTTCAGCTTGTAGATGAGTCAGAAGTATTTGTTTCATTTTCGGTAACATATCTTTCAAAATGAAAGCAGCTGAGTGGCGATGACTCCGGGTCCCTGGAGCAGACGGTTTGGGGGATTAATTGCACATGACCTAGAATCGACATAAAACAGACACAGATACAGCCATCTCACTGAGAGGGCTGTAGTCTTTGGAGATTACTCTTTACAGATGGTGACAGATGGATGAGAAGTTACAAGAGATGGCAATAAGATCTTTGTTCTGTGCGTAGGGCCTTTGCTTTTGTGTTTGTGAGTTTGAAAAAAGGTCTGTGTGTGTGTGGTTTTTAATTTGCTGTCATTGTTTTGGGTGTGGCAAAGAGAGATGTGTGTGCTTGCATGACACTGCATAGTAGCATACAGACTCAGGATTAATTCCTAAAGATAGCAGTGGCATTAACACACCCCATTATGTCTGACGGTTGGCTGCATCGTTTGAACAGACTGGCAGTTAAAGGACAAAGACGTGTTCAATAGCAGACCCTCAGTCAGTTCTAATCCAATTCTGGGAAATCAATGTCCTCTTTTTTGCCTGAATCAGATCAAAACTGTGTCCCTCCAGGACAGAGGTGCTGACTGGGCGTTGACCTGGACAACGTTCCTCTTAGAAATATTTTCTAGATTTGAGCTTTAAGTTTGCAGGTTTTCTACCCAAAAAGCTGATTAGCACAACTTCAACCACAGAAGATAAAACGTATCACTCAGTAGACCATGGATGCCTGTATCCCATATACATTTATACCTTCTGACTTGCAACAGACCTGCCAACTGACTTTGGCTGCAAAACATGAGTCTGTAAGCTTCGGCTGGGTGCAGCACACACTGTCCAGTCAAGCCCTCCCCCCGGCTACTGTATTAGCACCCCTCTGTCACTTTGAGATTTGATAAGAATGGTGTTTGTCGTCATGTAGCGCCCTGCAGCCCTCACAGGTCACCTTTCCGCGGCTCCCTGAACCCCGCAGATCACAACAGAGCTGGACTTCAAGGAGGCTCTCAGTCCACTCCCAATACCCCCAAGGTCAGACCTCATACATGTGCTCTACCTTAGCATACTGTATGTATGCCAACATCTGTAAGAATCAAACACTAATGAATACGAGCTGCAAAATGTATTAAATCCCTCTAACACTGCTTACAGAAAGAGCGGCTGCGCAGAGAGAGAAGAACTGCATCTCCAGGTTGTGGATCCCCTTTGAGAAGATCCGAATCCCCTGCGAATGTCACCAGGCACTTGACTTCCCCTACTACCTCAAAGTAAGATTATTTTTTTGTTAAAAGGCGGGCAAACGCTGCTGTCAGCAGGGAGCATTACCTTGTTCACACAGCATTATTTTAACATATCTCTCCTGTCATGAAACACTTCATTCTTAAGCCAAAAATCTATCTGTGTGCAGGTTGGCATCTAAAATGCGTTCCCATTCTCCGAGCAATGCACATCAGTACCATTACTCTCCTACAAGACAACGTTCAAACCTGTCACCGGATGATAAGAAACCAGAAGACAAGACGCTGGAGAGACACGGAGAACAATCCAAAGTGGCGAGAAAGAATACCGACATCAACAGCACGAATCCATCTTCACAAGATGTGAAAAATGTGGTCAACGCTGAAATCACTAAATCCAGACCATCTCAAGGAGAAACCTTGGATAAGCATCTCAGAGCTGACACATCTGAAAAAAACCAGTCCCCTGACAGAAAGGACCACATGTCTCCCAATGTGGATTTCTCAGAGAAGAAGATGCAAAGCAACGCTCAGGATGGAGACAAGAAAAAAGGTGGGCTTCATTCAAGTGACAGCAGAGTATTTGTAACCTTATACTGCATTAAGATTTTGAAGCACACTTGGATGATCTTACCCCAGTCTTTTCTGTGTGTTTGACAGAATCAGCATGTGCGTCCACGGGGAAAGTGGCAGCTGGCATGACAAATGCAGAGGAGGCTACCAGGCTGCTGGCAGAGCGAAGGCGTCAAGCGCGAGCTCAGAAAGAACTGGAAGAGAAAAAGCGGGAGGAAGAGGAACGGTGAGTTCATTGAAGAAATTATGAGTAAGAGGCTGCAATGATTTGTCTGTGGGATTTAAATCTTTGAATGTTTTCAATAAGTGTATGTATGTACCATCAGATACAGGGAAGAGCAGCTGAAGAAGCAACTCGCACAGGAGCGGCAACAGCAGGAGGCAAAGACTCAACAACTGAAGGAAAAGGAGAAACATGAGGAAGATCTTAACAAGCTGAAACAAGAAGAGGACAAACGAAAGAAGGAGGAGCAGGAGAAGGAGCACCAGAGCCAGATGGACAAAGAGGTGAGAGATGATAAGAGGCAGTTGTTTTTTGCCCTGTCACTGTATTGATTGGATTTAGATTTTTGGTAGTTTCTATGTGAATTTCAGGATAATCTTTGGCACGTCGTGTAAATTGTGCTCTGTCTTAACAGAAAGAAAAAGCCCAAGTCCAAGCTCAGGAGGATGCAGAGCGACAGCGGCAAGACAGAGAACTGCAGGCGCAACAGGAAGAGGAGGAGAGGCAACTGAGAAAAAAGGTCATTTTAAACAGAAACATCCTGAGGACAGTCACAGCACTCATGTTGACTGCATGTTGCACTTGAACTATTTTAAACTCTGAATTCTGGAAAGTTCACACAGTGATTGATTGTTAATGTATTTTTTTGCAGAGAATCGAGGAGATCATGAAGAGAACTAGGAAGGGTGAAGCTGACTTGAAGGTACTGTGAGAGACGCCCCCTGTTCTCGTACAGTAGTCCGGCTGCCTTTAAGCACCTGCTGATCATGTGATTTTTCAACTTTCATTTATTAAGACTCTGACTTTCTGTTGTTATCATCTTTATTAAATTATTTTGTTGGTGATACTTTGGTTTTGTGTCCTGATTACCACAAACATTGACTTGATCATCTCTGTTCTGCATTGAATCAGAAGGAGGAGCAGGTGGAGACGAAGCCTGTCTCACCACCAGGTTAGTATGTTACTCAGTCACCCTGCCAATACTTACGTTTGCTTGCTGCCCCTGCTTTCTCTACCCCGCTCTGTATGCCTTGCAGCTGTAAAAATGCAAACAGGGCATGTATAGGTTATGATGGGATTCGTTAATTGGCTTATTTAGAGCATGCACTGCAGTAATGTACATTTTTATGACTTGGCTTGTGTGAAATCTTGGTTTATGGACACACGCCAATATTTTTTTTCCAGCATTCTTGTTATTTTCTTGTTATGCAATAATTCTAATGCATTGGCAGAAGGATGAACAGCTATGACCCTTGTCTACATCAACCAAGCAACTTGTTTGTTCTTTGGGCCATTCATTTAAAACCATCTGGTGGAGGATATACACTATTTTGTATAATATGGAGCAGCAGCCAAGGACTTTCCTCTTGGTGCTGACAGGGCACCTTTTAAAGTCGAGCAGTGTCCTGGGAGCTGACTGTAAAATTAGCCGCTCTTGAAAACGTCCTTGGAAGATTCCTTCAGGGACTGCTCTGCGAAATGTGAGCCTCACGCTTTATTTGGAGTGTCCTGTGTTAAATCTCAACTGACTTGGGTTTGACAAATGAGCCAAAGTCAATATTTAGCATGAACTTGTCCAGTAATTATTCTATTAATATGGGGCATCCAATATGACTGCTAGCGAGAATAGACTCAAATGAAATCCAGTTGATGTTAAATGGACAGTCCAAACAAAGTGAAGCCCACTGTGATGTTTTTCATTCTCCGCAGGTGAAGTGAAGACTGTTCAAACTAATGCTCAGGTGAATGAGCAAACAATCAAAAAGGTTGAGTTTCAGGTTAAAGAGCAGGTCAGCACGAAGGAAAGTGTCCTGGGGAAGACAGAAGCAGCAGCACAGATGGACAATCAGAAGAGTTTGCAAGTTAAAAACAACACCCATCAAGTGACACCAACACACAGTGTTCCTGACAAGAGACCGGACACCAAACAAACCAGTGAAGAGCAAGGCAGCCAACTGAACAGAGAGGCCAAAGCCTGCGTTCTCAAGCAGCAGGAGAGAGTGGTGGAAATGAATGTAAACAAGCAGCACAGAGCACATGTTAGAGCCGCAGACCAAACTAATAAAAAGACGACAGCAGATGCTAAAGTCAACCAAAGGGAGGGCGGTATGATGAATGGAGCGGTGAAGAGTGAAGGAAGTGCCTTGAAGAGAAGCCATCTAACTGCTGAGGTAAGCAAACAGCAAAGCCTGCATGTGTCAACAGCTGCTAAAAGAGGGGAGGTCATCAGACCCTCTGTGGGGCCCCTGTCGCTGGGACACCTATCACCACCAATCATCAAGCTGGAGCCCCTAGGTGTGAAGAATATGGGGTCATGTGATGAGGTGCAGTCCATGGAGGTGAGGTGAGACATCAGGGAACCCTGTATTAATATTATTATTAAAGAGATACTGACCACATTACATACGTGGTCTTCGAGGACACAAATATTATATGTAATTGCTTTCTTTATTATGATATTCCAGCCCCGTTTCAAAGGAGGAACTGATTTCAATCCCAAAGTTCTCGCCAGTCAACGAAATCCAGCACAGCAGCGTGAGCAACACCCGGGCTCTCGAAGACCTGATCGACCTGACAGGCAGCGTCACCTATCCCAAAATGTCCTCTGAAGGCAACGTCGGCGACTGCAACAAGAACCTGATTGAGGGTGTTGTTAGTCCCATGGCGGACTCAAAGCTCATTGGGATGTCGTCTCCGTCCTCAAATAAACTTAGCATCCAGTAGTCCGTTAATAATCTCTCTCTGTTTCTCTCTCTCTCTCTCTCGCTTGCTTTCTCTCATTTTCCTACTCTCTCTGTCACACAATTTCACTCACGGGACGTCACATTTTGAGTGTGTGTCACTACATTTATGGGAATAGAGCCATAGACATTGACTTAAAATAAACTGTAAACAACGACATGCAAAATAAAGAAAACAAATATTCTATATTCTAATCACGTAGCAACTGACAATTTGAAAGTATGTGTGAAAGATTTTGTTTAATAGTGCGTTTGCTGGATGAGCACATGTGACAGAGGGTCAGGGAGAGAAGCTGTGTCTGGACTTGTGAAATAATTATGAAAAAAGACAGGGTTTTAAATATTATAGATATTTAGGAAAAACACACCATTGCTAATGTATGGTAAGAATCTCTAATGTTCTCTGCACAGATTCCTCACTGGGTCTTCAGTCTCAGTACAGGAGTACCAAAGCTCAGAGCATTGACGACAGCGTTTATACCTCTAACTTTCCACGTGCCCTCTTTAAGCCTTTAAATCGAATGCAATGTTGCTGGGAAAGGCATGACTATTTCATTTTCCTGTTAGCCTCATTTTTAATACTTCCAAAATGTCTCTCCAAGGTTATGTTGTTCGTGCATGTGTTGATGATTGATTTGCTGGAATTTAAAGGATTTATCTGGCTAACTAGACTCCAGCAGGACTCCTTTACTCTTCCTAACCCAACAAGGTCTGACCGCGGGATTGTTATGAGATGATTTATCCTTTTTTTAATCTTTAACTGGGACTTTTCTAACTGCACGTAAGTGAGAAGGATTATTCCAAAGCTGTCGACTTGAATATTCGAACATTGAGGAAATCAGGCATCAACACAAATGATGGCACATACCTATACTACATCTTTGCTGCAGACTAGAGTGAACACTTGGACTCTATTGTGAATGTACAGTAATTGCATTCATAAAAACGTATTTAACGTCAGTGATTCCATGGATTTCCAGCGATGAAAATAGTGACAGCTGAGCAGCTTCATGTCATTTAAAAAGTTTTCTGTAGGTGTGCCTTGCTATGTAAAGGGTTTCCAAGGCACAGCGCTAATGGATGCATTAATCTATTAGACATACAGTAAAGTACATAGATTCCAATCAATAGATATCTGGCGGTTGATGTGTAAGACTGAAGTGCTCTGTGGCAGGAATGTTTGCCTAACAATCAACTTGTAAGCGTGCCCTGTAGCTATAAAGATGCTGTTAAAGTTTTTTCCCCTCCATCATCTGTGTGGTCCTGTGTAGGAATTATCCAGCCGGCTCCTTTAACTACATGTGATTACAGTAGAGATGCCTTGTGAGGGACCGATTAGTTACTGTTTTTTTTTTGTGCAAACCATTTTACAGTCTTCTGACTGTGTATCTTTTCTGTTTAAGCTACTGGGATTGTTGCGTGTGCGACCTGTACTTGAACCCTGGTTGGAAACGCTTAATTAACCTGTGCCATGCTGCAGAAAACAATTATACCAATAGCGTATACACATTATGATGTCATTATAAAGGGGCATTTAGATTTGTGTTCCTCAGACAATACATCATCTGGAAAAACAGGTGATTTAATCTTCTTAAATTAAATTGCGTTATATATATATGTTGCATACAATATTTGAAAGGGAGGATTGGCTGTTTATTTGCATATTCAAACACTGCTGTTTCACATTGACTTAAGTTATGCTTTTTTTTTTTTAAAGGGGACTAATTTGAAAGAAAAGCAAATGAGTATAAATAAATGTTACAGTATATACAACCACCTCAAAAAGTATTCAACTTTGCTCACGCCCATATTTCAGAACAGTCTTTCACAGTCAGCTTAACTATTTAAATTATGTAATTAGACTTTGTGCATGGTTAGCATGGTCATAACAATGTCATCCGAAACAATAAAATGTGAAATTGGGAAGTCTGTGTTTTTGTTTGTGTGTTAATGTGTGTTTGTGTTATTAAGCAATTAAAAAGGGGAGACGTTAATAGCATCGGGCACAAAAACATGAAGTGAAGAGATGGAAGACTTCAGAGAAATCACACCAACAGATGTATTGTTGTTGTCCTTAAACACAACAAGCTAAAACCAAAGCTGTCTGATACAAAAGCCCTGCAATAAAACCTGCAGCATATCCTCATTAAGTTTTTGTTCAATGGTTGTAGGGGATGTGTTGTTTCAATAAGAGATGTGTCTAAACTACAGTCTACCCTTGCTGATATAAATGGGGTAGATACAATTTAATAAGACACATCCTCAACACCCAACAGAAACTGAATATTATGAGGTTAAAAAACCTTCCTGAAAGTGTGTAGACCGTGTAGTACATACTCCGAGCCGGTAGGTGGCGCTACAGTCTGGCTGACACACGTGAACGCTGTGTTGATGAGGGGCGAGGTAGCTCAGCTGCCACTCCGAAGAACAGCGGCACGTAGCTTTCATCGAGTCGACGATTTGTCTTTTGGTAAGTAGTGAACGAAATTTCACGTAGTGATATACAAATAACGTTTGGGGATTTCTGTTGTCCGACTTGTCCGAGTGTCTCACGACGTGACGTAGAGCTCAGTAGAGTTTGGGAGCTAATTAGCGCAACGCACACAGGCTAGCTAGCTGGTTAGCTCGACCTGCGTTTATTTTTTAGTCGCTAAATCTAAACAAGACCGACAGATTGAGCTAACGTTACTTTACTAACGTCACTGTTATACCCACTACTGCAGCCAAGGGCTTGTTTGTCACCCACGTGAAGAAAACAGTGACTGTGTCGTGTTATTTTCTGAGCTAGCTAGTGGTCAGTAAGTTAGCACCAAAAATGGAAGCACGAGCTTGCCCAGATTCCTCACCAGGATTTAGAGATCAAGTGCTGAAACTGAACCCACTGCGGCCATAGGGACACATTCAAGCGAAACCAGCTCGAAGCTACCTTTACGTCCATTTTGGTTGCTGGGCTTACTTTGATTTTTCATCTTTTCTTTACGTTAAAATGGTGTTGTACGTTGTCCACTAAGATCTTGCGTCTGATAACGATCTAGAGTAAACAGTGGGTCAGTCTGATTTACATTTTAGTATCGAGGACACAAATATGAGCATGTAGAAATATGTTTTAGTGTATTTTATTTAGTTCTCTCTTCTGTGGATTTCAGGCCCACTGTAGTTGCATCGTGGCGTTTACATATTGTCAATACAAAGTATTTAGGAGTCTATTGCAATGAGTCGTCTCTGTTTATCTGTGGCTGTACTGATTAGGTTAGTTAAGTGAATGGACCTTTGTCTCCGGCTGATATATTACATATTGCTGTGGGTTGTCTTTAGATATTTTAAAACGGTTGAAGGAAAATGCACTCTGAACTATTTTTTTTGTGATGGTTTGATTTACAATTTTTAATGTAGCTTGACTACTATTAATACACACATTTTATAATATAAAAAGTTGAATTTGATGTAAGTTATATACATTGTGATAAGTTCTAAACTAGCATTTTAACATTTGAATAGTAATTTAAATGATATAAGTGCTTTTGCTTGTTTCATACCATCAATTTCAAACCGCATGTACTTGTGAATATTGATCATTTCCAAAGTACAATGTAGTTTTTGTTATTTGACTGCAGTTTACAAGCACTGGATTGCTGTTTAATATTCATTATGTTATAGTAACTTTAACTGATGACCCAGCTTGTCTAAAATATGAATGAGATAAAGAGAACAAGAAATAAATGGTGAGTAAAAGAAACATGGATTAAATTAACACCTACATAACTGACTCAGCTTCAGACGATGGAGTCAGGTTGGCTCAAAGATTGTTTTTTGGAATCTAGCATTCTTTCTACTTAAGGCTGCCAAGACTCAATATGTTTTCTGTTTTCTTCATAGATTATTCACTCACTTCCCAAGATGGTTCGACCACATTTTGGACCACCTCGTTTGAAGCCCAGGTAATGCCCCTTTGGTATTATGTTCATGATTGGTAAATCTTTATACAATGTGTCGTGAACTAAAAGTGTTTGTTTTTCGTGTGTCCTATCAGACCTTACGGAGAGGGTCACGGCATTGGACCTAATGACGGGAATTTCAACCCTCACTCCAAAAATCGAAGAGATGTCCAGGGCTACCCAGCAAAGGCCCCTTTTCACTGGAGAGATTCCAGAGGTAGAGGACGTCCCCCAGTAGTCAAAAGAGCCCCCCTGATGGGAGAACAAAGGGAGCCACGTTTCAATCACTGGAGGTCCCAGAATCAGGATTCCTTTCAATCGTACCCTCCCAAAATGGAACCCCACCACAGCCAGAGGAGGCCTTCTCCATTCAGGCAGAATCGCTCCCCTCATGTCCAGCACCACTCATCCTCTCGCAGCCCTGCACAAGGATCCCAGAGTCAAAGGGGCCCGCCTCTCCACGGCCACCCCTCAGGTCACAGGTCGCCCTCCCCGAGACATTTTCGCAACCACCCAGCTGACAGGAGGCCCGGCTCGGCACCAGCATACCGGGGCTCCTTCAGGGGCTCCTTCAGGGGCTCCTTCAGGGGCTCCAAAAGGCAGCCCGGTTTTCAGCATCAGGAGCAGCGGAGTCGAGACCCTCGTGGGAATTACAGTCCCAGAGAAAGGCCCTATGAGCACTCAGGTCACGGCATGAAGCGCTGGAACGAGGCCGGAGCGTTCTCTCATCCACACAATGGAGAACACGGGCCCTCTTGTTCACAGAGGAACCCCAGAGAGATGCATGGCAGAGGCTCATGTCCAGAGAGGTACAGGAGTGAAGCAGCAGCCCCAGCTGGGTAAAATTATTAAGAGGAGGCCTGAAGCTGGCCCAGTCCTCCCAGTCACTGGGGTCGTAATGGTTACCTCTACTCTACCCCAACTCGTAGTTATTAGAGGGGATTAATGGGGGTCTGATGTAAATGTGGTTTCACCTGGCATTGAGAGGAGTGTTTCATCGTAAATGCTCTTTGAAAATTTACTTCTCCTACCTGTTTCATTCTGTCATGGCATTATGAAGGGGCTGCATTAAGATAAAAGTTTTTAAAAAAAGTTCCGCCTCCCACTAAACATGGCAATGGATCTATCGTTGTAATGATTTCTCTATTGTTTGATGGATGTGCAGGTGGTCATCTGAGCAAGACTCCAGGCGGCAGCGTGGTCCGGTGGGGAGGCAGGGCAGCAGATCCCACAGTAGAGAGAGGGCACAGGATGTCCCTCACCCGCCCCCCTTCAGAGCCCCCTCGTGGAAAGGGGGTCCGTCACCATCGTCCTCCTACCACAGGAACCCTCAGGAGAGGCAAGTGGCGGGACCCCGCAAGAGGAGGATATCGGACATCAGCATGCCCTCGCCAGACCCGGCACTGGAGCACGGCAATCAGAAACAACCGCGAAGAGAGAGGCCTCAGCTGCTCGGTATTCCCAGGCCGTTCGGTGGTAAACATGTGTCTCTTAGGGATAGAAGTTACCCGGTTAAGGACGGACAAGTCCAAGCGGAGTCCCTCATGAGGCTCAGAATACCAACATCCGTGAGACCCAGGCCCCGCCTGGACGACCCCGCCGCGCGGGAAAATGCTGGCTCTGTTCTTGCTGTCCGGAAGAGACGCTTCCAGGCAAATGCAGGTCCCCTGAAAAAAGTGGAGCCGAGGAGAGGCAAACCACAGCAGTCACCCCCCCGAGAAGAAAGCAATGCCAGCAAGTCCTCGAGGGACTCTGATTCAGGCAAAGAACAGGTGGAGTCTCGCCGGTCCCTGAACACACACAGGTATGGTATTTTCCTTCTAGCACTGTTCGCAGGGGCTTGATGATGATGATGATTAGGAAGTCAAGAAAGAATGTCTCTATGTGAAGGGGGTGCCAGCTGTGGAGAATGGAGATATCGGGATGAGCTATATGTGCAACACTGATTCAGTTGATGAGAAACTGCAAAAAGGTTTTCAAATGCCTCCCTGTCTGCGCGCTGCCCGATGTTACAAAATACCTTCCTCAGAAGCGGGCTGAAGAGAGAGAGAGAGGGCGATAAAGTCAACGTGTTTAAAACCCGACAAATGTTTTAATACCCTCGATGACGAGTGTGGAGAAATAGTTGATCTGTGCTGTTGAAGGATTCCTCAGTTTGTCGGCATTAAGCTTGAAAGAAGTGCTCTTCGGTATGTTGTGAAGACTCCTTCCTCCTCGTTAGAGAACACATTGGAGCTGAAGGTGCAACGCGTAGTGTAAAACAGTCTGTGTGGAAAACGAAGACAGGAAAAGGACTCCGTTTAAACCGATTACGGCGAAATTGTCGCGCTGCCCCTTTAAAACCATTGGCAACATGTCAGCCAATCGTGGACCACGGAAAAAGAGATGCATAACTAACTGCACCAACTAAAACACGAGGCCGCAAAGTTACAAGTAAATGGCGTGTTTGATCGTGGGATTTGTATAATTACAATATCAAGATGGATGACGTGATCGTTGGATGACGAAGAAGACGACAAAAGCCAACAAAGAGAGATTTATATTGAAGGACATAAATAGCCACCATCAGAGTTAGATGACAACGTGCACCTGCATTCATTTTTACTGATAAATTAAGTGATCATAACTCCATAACCATTGTTTATGGACATTAAGTTACCAAAAATGAAATGTAATTTTGTAATGGACTTAAAAAAAAGTTACAAAAACAAACATTCTAAAGCCAAGACAAATGCGTCGGCAAACAATTGATCTTTGTTGATTAATACAGCACATTAATCACCATATTCAGGATTTTTTATCCTCACACATTCATTAAACGTGCACCTACGTGCACACGTGAACCTTAGGCTCTTGAGTAATGCCAAATTTTTGTGTGACAAAAAAAAGAATAGAAGACACATTTCTGTACCACCTGACGTTTGAATCCTTGTGTACGTCCAAAATTCCCCTTCGGCAGAACAAAGAGGAGCTTAACTACGACTTCATACTGTGCAGCCAAGTACTGGAGCTTTTTTTTTGCTTCTCTGCACTCGTGAGAACTTCAAGGACACATTCAGACAACCGTGTCAGAGCTGGAGAATTTTGATGAAACGCACCGCTCCCAAGTCAAACCTGCGACCATAAAGCAGTTATTTGTCCACTTCTATTGTAATAATATCAACAACGCCTGCAGTGAAACAGGCCTTGATGTGACAAATTTAAATGGCTGAAAGAAGATCTCATGAAGCAGCTGAGAACAAAACACATCAAGCTCTTAAAAAATGACAAGACAGACCCGAGAGATTTAAAGTAGACAAGAACGAGATGAAAGAATCCCAACTTGATACGACATGGACGGAAGCAAGACCAGTTTGTTGCTGCCGGGTTCTTACTGCATTGGGTCTGGACCCACAGGTCGGCATGTGCCGTCGTCAGTTCCTAAATCTAATCTGACGTGACCTAAATGTAATGTTCAGAGGTGCACACCATCAGCCTGAGTATTCAGTAGCCGCTTTACAAAGTCTCTCACCCAAACCTTCACATGTCAACCTGCGAAGACATTGATGATGGACAAAAGATGTTCTCATTCAATTCTCTGCTCTTAACGCCGCTGTAACCTGAAACTACAACATGGAGAGGACAGCGCCGGCTCCTTGGCTGTGATATAACAACAGACCCAATCAGACCTTTTATTAAATCCCCGCCTTTTCCTAAATCATGCCCCCCAAACGTAAGATGAATAGGAGATATTAAGGACTAGAAGTCTCGCTTGTGGGCACTACGAAGGCTGTGGTCAGTTGCCTTGAAACCTGGACTCGTTCACAGGCAGATGAACACCGGATCATCTCTTAAAACCGCCGCACGACTACAACAAAGACGCTGTTAATCCGACACGAGCACCCGCCTGGAAATGTACAGCAATTCACTTCGGAGCGACTCCAATCACGTGAAACCCTTTGGATGACAAAAGGTCGAAGACAACTCAACGAACTAGGAGCGACCCGATGACAAAGTTCAGAAAAACAAAGTGTCGGTCCGACCGTGAAAACAAAGCGTTGTCCTCCTGTGCTCCTGAGAGAGGGAGGATAGAAGATATGGTGATGTAGACCGATATCTAGAAGCCCGCTCTAACGATCACTGAGTAAATGAAGAGGGCTCAGATTGATTCAGGGTACAAAAATAGGAGTAAAGCAGCATGGACATTCCATGGTTTTTGTAAGTACCCATGTGATGCGTGGCTTTATGATCATTTCTCTGCCTGCAAAACAGTGCTGTTCATTACTGGTTTAAACTGCTTCTAAGAATTAAGCTGATTTTATGTTTTTACTTGCAATCCGTTCTCTTTTAAACCTCTGTGATAACTTTCAGTGTTTTGATGTTAATGTATCCAGGCCACCATTTAAGATGTTCATACGCTGACATAGGCGTCACGTGATACTGGTAAAAGGAATGCTGATGTCGTTAACGCGTCCCTCGCTAATCTCTCCTCAGGTCTTCTTCTCCCATAGAGAAACGTGACCTCGTTGTTCTGTCCCACTGGCCTCCCGGGCCGATCTCCTCTAAGGACGACTCGCCGACGAAGGATCGCAGCCCAAAGAACGGTGAGTTGTTTCTGTCCTCGTGCGACCAGAGGCCTGTGTTTGTGACATTGTTTTGATATCATGATTCATATCAATTTCCTTTCCACATATTCTTTATTCTGTAGGTTTAGATACAGGTTTATTATCGGAATCATAAACGGTTTATTGCTGTTTGTTTGCACATAGAAGGAATGATTCATTTGGTGATTGGTGCAAAACAATAAACGATAGTATAAAGACATAATGAAAAAAATGTCTGTTGATTAAGTTTATTTATTTTGTCTCTCTCTTTTTCTTCTTGTAGACCGCAGTTCAGATCAAGAGGGCACAACGAACAGCCGACTCTCAAAGACTAACGATTCCAGATCGTCGCCTGAAGACCGCAGACAGGGCTACATGGACAAGAGGGTGTTCAGGTACGTTTCATACAGTCAGTGTTGTCTCCGTGTTTGAAACAAGTTTATCATTTATTAAGAAGTGCAGCGTTTCCAGTGGGTGAAATGCAAGCTTTATGCAGCACCTGTGTCCTGTTTCTGATGTTCCTTTTACATCTTCGCAGGCCTTTTAATACGATGCAGGACAGCTACAGACCCGGGAGGCCCTTCAGGAGACCAGGACAAGGACCCATGCAGGTGAAACAACTGTTGCATACGTCTGTGCAGAGCTTGTGCCTCTCTGTGATCTCTATGTCACACTTTTGAAATGTTTCATTATATTCAAGTGTTTTGCAAAAGCAAATATGACTAAAAGAAAGTGAGTGAGTTGGGAGCTAAATACATACTGTATCATTTTGTTTTACAGAGACCACGGTTCCCCGGTGGTCCCAGGAAGACGGGCCCTGAACTGTCTGGAAATATTAGAAGACCTCTCATGGTACGCATGCCCTCCTCGGAGATCGCTCTGTTCTTTTTTGGAAATGTGAAATGGCTTATGGACTCTGCTTTTCTAAATGACTAATATTTAAATCTCTTGTGTTTTTTTTTTTTTTAATAAGGAGAGCTTAGTGACGCGTCCCTTCCCAAATCAGAGGCCAGTGTTCAGAAAGAGTCACTGCATCATGTCCAAATACCGCAGCATGAGAGTGCAGCGTCAGCAGCGAGCGCCGTACAACCGAGGGCCCAACCAGCAGCGCTGGTGATGACCTCTGGTGAGTTTCCATCACGTGAGGCCGTTTACTGTGAACAGTGGATAGTTGTCCACCTTCAGGCCATAAGTAGGTCTGTTGTCATTTGGAAATCTGGATTTATCACAACAAAGCGATCTATAATTTGATTCTTCTTCTTCCCACAGTCTGCAGACGGGATACATCTTCATCATCTATCTCTTCTCTGCTGGGTGGACTGCACAAACCTTTCTTTCATTTGAAATCTCCACCTGCCTGTATATTGTGGAAGTGTTGTCGCTTACATTTGTTCTCTGGTACAAATGTTTCATTTGCATCTTTAAGGTATCGCAGTATTTTTGTTTTTGGGTATTTGTGACTTATGCCATTGCGTTCTATTGTTCTGCTCTTTCTTTGTTCTTGAGTGTAATTATTTAGGAGTGCCGCCTGTGGTCTTGGCAGTCTTTGTTTTACTGAGGTAGTTTTAGCTTTTTTTTTTTTTTTTTGTCTACCAGCAGGAATCGATTTCAGGTCTGAAGTCCAAGAAACGGTTACTTTAGAATGTCACCCGTACTGTCTGTAAAGACTAATCTCATGAAATGTCCTGTTTGATTGATGGGTGTGTTGATTAGACTCGGCAGCTTGTCCAATGACACTTAGCTACTACTTGTATAATCACATGTTCAGTTTATTGTTACTTGAAATAAAACCAAATTTAACACGCTCTTTTTGAGATTGTCTTTTTTTTTTTTTTTTCCACTTAGTAGATTTTGACAAAAGAGAAATGAAATAATACTGTTTTTAAGAATCAAAGCTGTAAAATCTTAACTATGGCAATTCATTTATATTCTATTTTTGGAAATAATTGACAGCTTTATTCCCTAACTTTAAGAGAAACTGACCTGAACACGACTGGTCAAAATTGAAGCAGAGATCCCAACTTCTAGTTTTTAGCTCGCTGGATCCTGCATTTCTCATAATGCAATTTTTCTAACTCACTTTCTGTCAAATCTTGAGTCTAAGCTAAGATAACCCCGATGACATGTGGGTCCTCCTTCCACAACTCAAAGATATTTACTTTACTGTCATAGAGTAAAGAAACATTCACATTTAGGAAGCTGGAATCAGAAAATTTGAAAACTCAAAATGCTTAACAGACTGTCAAAATAGTTTGTGTTTAATAATTGACAATCATTTAATCGTTGCATGCTTAACAGTGGGATGTTCCTCTTAGTGCTCTTCATGAAGAGCTGAGGAAAGCCTTTCAAAACACATACTGAGATTTCACAATAAAAGCAAATCTTCACCCTTTCTGCTTTTGGTCTGTTTCCGATTTAAACGTCACTGCTTGTGTAACTGTGCTCTGGTTCGTCCCTTTAAACACACCCCTCGCCCTTCAGCCTGTGCAGAGTGGAGCTAAACTTAGCCCTGACGGCAGGCTACCCCTCCTCATCACAACATACCCTGTTGACCACAGTGGGTTACAATGGACGGTGTCGCGTTGCCACAGATGCTGCTGTATCTCACCGGTGTCGCCGGCCAAACAAGGTGAGCGTGTGCCCCAGATCCTTGACTGTAACTGACAATAATCTGGTTATTTGTTAACTAAAGATTGTACAGTATATAATCTGTGACTGTGGTCCTTTTCTTTGCATTGGTCGCAGCATGTGTTGCACATTTGTTTTCTCTGCTGTGGCATGAGAGAAACAGCTGCCTCTAGTCTACCACCCACACGTGGTTTCCAGCACTTAGAATCTGAGGATAATGTACGAACTGAAAAGCACATCATATTTGTATTGGCATATTTATTTCTCTAATTGATGTAAAGGTGTAGCATGATGTGAGACTAAGCATCTGTTGATTTCTGCTCCTCTAACTTGCCCCAATCTTTTTATTTGTAGATGTAGACTTAAAGACTCTGCAGGTTTTTCTGTCTTTCACTCTCTACACTTGTGTTCCCCTCTGTCACGATGGGCAGCTATAGCTCAGCCCTCATTCCTGGTAAGCCTCGCAACTATTCTTGTTCCAACTATCTGTTGCACCATACTTTGAAACACTACCATGCTTGAATGCTGCATGTTAATGCAGGCCTTGGAATCACAAAGATGTAGGTTTACTGCTGTGAAAATGGCCGATATTCTCCACAGTGATTTAAATACGTTCTAGCTTCTACGAGGTGCGCTTTAACATTCATTCTCCGTTTCTCTCAAAGACCCTGAAGAGTTTAATTCAGTTGTGTCGCTCGCGGAGAAGCTCAATGAGCAGGTAGCTCATGTTGCAGACGAGAGGTTACAGTCAGAGCTTCAGACTCTGGCAAGTATACACCTTTTAATAATAGAATTGTTAGATTATCCATACACACTACTATCATAGCTTGGCTCACTGTAAGGAAGTGTGTGGTCTGGTGTGTTTGTGTCCCACCTGTCCTTGAGATAAATTTAACTTTTCTGAGCTGCTTCACACACACCGCAGTGAAGGATATCCAGTGTAACTCCTTACTCAAAACAGGGTTAAAAAGTACTTTAGTTTAATAAATAAAATGTACTTGGATTGAAACTTGTTTTTTTATGTACTTACATTGGGTGAAGTACCCTTTAAATGTCTTTTACTTATCAGATGTCTCAAACTAGACTTAACTTACAGGTAACACTCATGATGGAGGAGAGAAAAGAAAACCAGAGTGAAGAGCCGGATTCTTCAACACCTCAAGAAAACTCACAGGAAACACTTCCCAATGGGTCTGCCCTGCCTGTTAGTGTAACAGAAAAAGTCAAGGCGTTGCGCACTTTAAATACAATTTAATATTTCAGATTTGATGTTGTCAGCCAGTAATGGGTTATTCTCCACAGGCAGCAGCACCCAAAAGTGTGCCCATGCAGTCCTTCACCTCCCTGTTACCAAAGGCTCTCTCTGCTGTACTACATCAGGCGGCTCCTCCAGGCCTCAACTCCGACCGCCCGCCGAGCAGACATCCACCGAACCTGGAACAACTGCAGACAGACCTGAGAGACCTGAGGGACCAGTTTGAGCTAATGAAGACTCAGCACAAGTATGTCTTTTTAAAATGTAATCTCTGTCTTTTTACCTGCCCTGCCTCGGCCCATTAAGTTCACTGCGTCACTGCCTTCTGGCACTAATCTGACTAAATCTTGTGCTCCAGCAAAGAAATCAAACTGCTGATGAATGAGCTCGATGAGGAGAAAAGGATTCGCTTGACTTTGCAGGTATACCGCAAGAAGAAACAAAGGAATTCAAGAGAATGTTGTTTTGTTCTTCTATGTTATTATGAATAATATATAAAAAGCAGTGTGGCTGTTGGCACCTTTTAAGGTGACACTATTAGATCATCTTTTTTTGCCCACTGCACTGTTTGATTTTTGTTTTGTTTTGTTCTAGATGGAGATTCAACGTATGAAGAAGCACATGTCTAAATGAGTGGAGTGGAGAACGTCTCCATTATCAAAGACACCCTTAAAGGTCCTGTTGTACACTTTCTAAGTTTTAGAAAAATACTCCTTACTCCTTTTTGATTGTATTTATTAGAAAAACGTTTTTGCCTCGGTGGAACATTTCTGGAGTGGTGAATGGGATAGCCAAAGGGGCTGAATGTTTTAATGATGAGGCACCGTGGGAGCAGAGTATCTGTTGACCGTTATCTCTGGAAATGAGCAGGTCATTGCTCTGTTTTACCCTCAAACTGTTTTGTATATCTCTGTAGATGGACTCTTAATAACTACAGCATCTACAGCATCCTGTAGTGGGGGAAATGTTGTCTAAGTTGTCTCGAGGTTTTCATGAAGAGAAAAAAATGTTTGTTTTTTTTGTTTCCCATGACTGTTGGCATGAATATGTATCGTACATCATCGCTGATGAATTGGTTTTCAATGATTTGTCCGTTATCTAAATGTGTGGAAAACATTTGACAGTGAAACATATGAGGATATAAAATGAGAGCCAGCAGTTGATCAGCTATCTTTAGTTTATAATAATGTGATGTGGAGGCACAAACATGAAGCTTCTTTCCTATTTTGGGTGCATTTCATTTTCAAAAATGTAAATTTGCCTTTTGATCGTACAAACAATGTATTGACCAAGCTTGTCAGTATGTAGTGATGATGGGGAATTAATTAAAAATATTTCCGGTTATTGACTTGAGATTTTATTAATGATTAAGGCATCCATACACACAACTAAATATTAGTAACTAGTGATGTGATCGAGGAAACGTCCTCTCGAACATAAGTGCAGCACTTTTTATGGAAAGAAAGTCATTCATTAGTATTAGTTCAGTAATGTAATGTGTAAAACCAGGATTGCTTAAGTTGTTGAAGTCTCAACATCCATTGCTGAGATAACATGTCATCAGAAGTCATTATGAGATGAATTTATTTTTCAATTCGAAAAGTCCAAGTCCCCTTACAAATGAAATGCAAATAAATAACGTTGTTTTTTTTTCAATCAAAAAACTATATATTTTCTCTTAAAAACACATGTACATAATAAAGTATATTACATTTCATTTTTAGATCCGAAAAGATCACAATGCAGCCACGTTAGTTTTTTTTCTTTACAGTCTTTGTTTTCTTTTACAATCCCGGAGGGACTGAACAGTCGGCTGAATCTCTGCCAGCACCAGCAAAGTTTAAAATGTTTGACATGGTGTCGAGTTTGGTCTCAGAAGTTGGACTCTTCACAGAGAACTGGCCTGAAGGAGACCTCTTTGTCCTGCTGCAGCAGAATGTCGTATCGACAGAGAGGCCTATAAAAGGACAGAGTCAGCATTACTAAAGTGAAAACACTTCAAATTCAATTTCAAATAGATCAAATTTCCGAAAAAAATTACACATTTTTAATAAACCTCGTGTTGCATACCTCTCCTCGCGTTCCAGATGTGTGAGACGGATTCGGAGGACACGGAGCTTATATTTGGGCTTCAATGCATTCCCAGTGGAGAATTTGAGAGACACTTCTTTCACCGACTGAATGTCTTTGTCAAACTGGGCCAACAACGTGGTCTCTGTGTACTTCTTGAACTCTGATGCTTTACTGATGTAAAAACAAAAAAGAGAGACGTTACTGAGAGAAAGCAGCAACAGGAGGACACAGAGAAGTCATGCGGGATTATTTGCTACAGAATTCAGGATAAATAAAGTGAGGACTCACTGGTCAATGGTTGCCACTGCTTCTTTACCGTTACTGTGAAGTTTAATCGTGATGTATCCAAAACGTAAATCCCCGTTCCATATCATCACCTCCACCCTGTAGTTTGTCCCTGTCATTAAAAAATAAGACATCCATTTAAAAACATTTTATAGACATAAACATGTCTTTAAAAAGGAATAATGTACTACTGTAGTATATATGTATATATATATATATATATATATATATATATACACTTCCTTTCAGAACTGATCGCAGACCATTTATGACCTTTTTTGGCTCAAATCACCCTCATGAATGACATATACTGTCAGATGAAATTGGAATTATTTTTTTTATTTTATACTCATTAACATGTAGCCACAGGTGGTTGCAGGTGCAGGTTTCCAAATAGAGTTGAATGCCATTAATGTGGGACAAATTTGCATTTAGTAAAAATAAAAAACATAGTTTAGTTGATTGCAACCTACCACAAACAACTAGATGCCACTAAAACTTCAGTTCAAAGTTCTATGTTATTTTGATTATGTCTAAACTAATGCTGCATTTCCAGTGTGAAGGGAAGATAGATGATTAGGAAAATCAAACCTATACATACAGGAGTGTGTGTGTGTGTGTGTGTGTGTTAAAATAATAGTTAGGGGCCCACATGAACATTTAAAACATCATCCATCCTATTAAGGTCATGAAGAGATCCCTTTCTAATGAGATCATCTGAAGCTAATGGCAGTATGAGGTAGAAAAATCAGTCTTCCACTCTCCTCACTGCCCGGTGAAACAAAGAGGTGCTTTCACACTGAGAAGACTTGGACTTTGGAAGATAGCTGCTAGATTTGATTTACTCCTTTTAGTTAGGAAGGGATCTCAGACATAAAACACATTTCTGTTAGCTGGCCTTGTTTTACATTTTATTTACTTCTTTCTTTAAATCCTCTGACCAGGTCTGCTTTTAGAGAAGTGTTAAACATTTGCAACTTTAAGCATTTTTATATTTGATATGCAGCTTAATGTGAATCTCTTAAAACATGAATAATATATGTGGATGTACTGAGGTGAAGTTTTTAAGCATGATGATGATGATTATTATTCTGTTACTTACTGCAGAACGGAGGGTCTGTATTTGTGGTGAAGAAGGTTTTTGTTTGGCCCAGCGTCAGCAGGACATCTCTCCACTTTGTCACATCGTACCCTGGATTTGAGTGAAACAGCTGCATCAGATCACACCCATGTAGAAAGACCATCACATTACTTTTCTTTTTTATCTAGACCATAAATATCTAGAATGCTTCAAGATGCATTTATTTATTGTTTATATCTATTTCATTGAATGATTCAAATAACAGTGTTGGACATGTTTATTTTTGAATGTGTGTTCTTCATTACGAAGCGATAATTAAAGCACCAACCAAAGACAGGACATCCAGCAGCACCAAAGCGGTCACAGCTCATGCAGTCACCATCCAGGAAGTCCTTGTTGGAGGTGCAGGGGTAGGCTCTGCTGGTACACGTCCCATTGAAAGAGTCGAAGAAGAGCAACACTGACCTCTGATGGTCGCATTTAAAATAGGATCCTCCTGCACAGGGTTAAGTCAGAATTGTTACCACACAGCTTTGTTCCATTTCTTATAATACAAATCCCTGTGTGCATGATTATAAATCCAACTTCAACCATTATTTTACAGACCTTACCAGAAAGGATGGTCCTCGGGCAGCCGGGTTGGTCCGCTCCACCATTAGCATAGAAATCAATGTGACCCAGAGGTTCTCTGAAGCCCAGGGCTGCGTAAGTCGTGACATGATTAATAGGAATAACTTACATAACAAATTCAAAACGATTGCAAATAACTGAGTGAAGAAATTATACAGTATTTTTAGTTTAACTGACAATCTATGTCTGTGTGCAGGACATCGACAAATTGGGCGTCTGTGGGGTCCAGGCGGTCCTCTGGAAGGGTGCCTCTGAACTGAGGCCCAGCTGGATCCAGAGCTGCAAACATCACATCATTAGATCTCAGCAGAGTTTCAAGTTTATTCTCAAACCCAACATTAGCTGGTGGGAGCTAGAAAAAGCATGCTTGGGCAGACTGAATTTCACCTTAATGTAATGATTTCACTTAGTTTAAGACCCTTTACTTCTGACAAACAAGTATTGCTCTTTTCGAGGCATATTTTGTTATTTTTCACACAGAAGTAATTTGATACCATCATGTCTGGTTTATGTTTTATATGACTGAACTCCAGATGTGCTGATGTGGATATCTGTGGTCACTGACACTGCTCAGATGGCCAAAACCTAATCGATGATATGTGGCCACAACTCAGCAACTCAACCTTCATTCTCAACATCTGACAAACTCTTTGTCAGCAAGGACTTTGCCACTCTGTGTTCTTAGTTGCTTGTTATGTTAGCAATTTAAGACTTAAAGTTCATTTAAGTGTTACAATTACAATGAAATATTCTTGATAAGCACCTCAGCCAAGTGCCAACAACTATAATTTTTATTACCTGATAAGTCAGTTATGTAACTAATTAAATTGTGGTGACAATATGTGCAGTATTTCTTCTACTGATGTAGATGTCAACTTACAAAAAAAAGCAAAATCTTACCAAGTATACTTGTCTAATTACTCTTTCCAATATCTGAGGGGTTTGTTTAAAGATTGTTCTGAGAGAAAAAAAAAGAGTTTGAAAGTGCACACTCTTACCTGTAATTCTTCCAATCGACCCATTCAGTTTGGCGCCTACGAAGCCTGATATATGAGCCCCAAGGCTGACTCCGATCATGTGGATGGAGCTCAGAGTGGCGCCGTGCCTCTGAAAAAGATCGGCCATTAGTCTTGTTACACACAACACATCAGATGGTCACAGAGAATGTCAAATACCTGCATCATTTCAATGAACGCGGTGAGGTTGTCGGCTGCCTTGTGCGTGTTCTCCACTGCCTTGAAATAATTGAGATTGGCAGCTCCGTGGTTCCAGTCCACCACTATGACATTGAGGTCTGCCCTGGCCAGCAGCAGCTCCGTGAACTTCTGCATCCACATCGGTGGAGATCCATTTGGCCGATACCCATGAATGATGAAGGTGGTCGGTCTGGACGAGTTGAACTGGGGATGTGCGGACAGGTCGGTGTGGGACACCAGTGTGCCACAGGTGCCATTATCCCTGGTGTATAGCAACAACCTGGTCTTGAGGCTGGTTCCAATGATCGCGTGACTGAGATCTAGATCTGAAAATTCGTCACATCTCTGAGCTGGAAGTGATGGTGAGAAAAACAGAAGGAGCAGAGAAAGGTGTATTTGGTTAGGAGAGGATGACAAAAGAATCTCCTGCAAGAGACATTGACCATTTTGACCTGAAACCCTTCTACATTTTTAGTGACTTATCATCCAAAGCTCCTGGCATTATCAGTGATATATTCCCATTGTGACTCAGTGTGGGAGTGTTCAGTGCGGCACAAGGTTGAAACTGAATTCTAACGAAGCTTCGCCCACCAGACACGTCATGAACAAGTTAAACTGGGAAACAACACTGAGCTCAGTGGACCAATACGCAAAATGCAGACAATTCACATCAAGTAGATCACTGACACATCTCGTCACAGAGCCTTAGAATAGCGCAGGATATGGTTATGACAAACTGTAAGATCATCCACAATCAATCACATGGCGTGGTGGTTTGTAGTTAAGACGTGGCTGTGCTCACAGTACAGTTTGTAACAAACCAACCACAAAAGCAAGAAAGAATGTGATGCGTGTTGCTTCATTCAGTAGCATTACACAATCTGATAACATATCACTTATCAAGCTCATAATAACAGAACAAAACAACCAATAGACGTTCAAAACAGAAACATCCCTCTCTGTTCCTGCTAACAGTCTGCTGAGCAAATTAAACGATGAAGTGTGTTTACAACAGGATAAAGTTTTTTATTGTATTTTTACAGCATGTGAACTATCTAGATTGTTTCTTTTCTTGCTTAAAACAGTCTCAACCATTTGATTATTGACTAAAAACAAACAGCACTCAAATGAACAAGTATGTAAAGTTCTACTGAGATGGAAGAGTAGCTTCATGTTTAAGAAAATCCATCAGCTGTTCTCAGCAACTGTTACACAATAAATGTGGTTTTCCATGTAATCACCGTTGCATGGCTGCATGTCTATCAGCTGAGAGACACGTTTATGTTTGTACAGTGCCATTGGTCTTTGCAAACCACAGTAACAACCATTTGCTGAAATGTGTTGGTTTTTAGTTCTTCAAATGTTGCTTATGGAGTACAGTTGCTTTACACTTATTGACAATAACGGCTGTGTGTTTGTCCACATATATTTACATTTCAAAGTTGTTAGCTTTGGGCTTTACCTTTGCATATTTGAACAGTTATCGGCAGGAGCAGTGTCAGATATTGCCACAGGAACATGCTTTACACCAGCACATGTAAATGATCTGCAGGCAGAGAGTTATCAGTCAGACCATAAAAATATATAAAAATACACCAGTCAGACAACATTTGACCCATAGTAATAAGAACAGAAATTACACAACAGGCACCACAACACAGGGAGAATACTGTTCAAACCCTTCAGGTGGCTCTCTGACACTTTGTATTTTTCACCACAGGCTGCAGTTTTGTTTTGTTTTTGCTCTGAATGCAAATCTCACTCGACTAAAGCAAAGGTAAGAGGTTAGTTGATCATCTACTTACCTTCCAATGGTATGATTGAGTATATTGTTAGTGCCAGACGATAACTTGAACATCTGATTTTCTAACACCCACCTCCAGTGAATAATCTCAACCAATGATATCGTGATTATAAGCGAAACTGAAATCTGCAGAAATCTGGTCTTCCTTCTGCTGCAGTAGAAACCTCATGTTTACTGAGTGTTCAGTGTCTTCCTTAGATTTTAACTGAACACATTTGACGACAACAACCAGAGAGCATAAAATGTAACTCTTATCAGAGTCTTACCTTTGCCGTAGGATAACATTTCCTGTTCTGGTTAAAGGTCCAGAACATTACAGGTCATCCTCTGTTTGTACCTCCACATATTTGGGCAGTGTTCACTTCAGGAAGTGAGAGGTTGTACAGCAAAGCAATACTCCCGTCCTACATGCTCTCACGAGGATAACCACACCCCTTGCCCCAGGTCATTGTGTTGCAGGTGAAACATTCCTTGGAAGTCACTCCTGGTTCCCAGGTACTCAAACCGGTTATGAGAGTTTCTTGTGTCTCTCTTGATCATTTGATCTGTAAAAACAACCCAGTCTCTGTTTACTGTGTCCATCCTTATTCATGAGCAAGAAATCAGAGGGAAAGTGAAACATATTTTGGGCATTTCCAAGACTGTGTCACTGTTGCAGAGGAGAATATCTCACCCCAAAATAACCAGTCAGACTCAGGCTTTTGTTTACTTGAAATGAATGCATCTCTATATGTGTATAATGTTAATGTACATGTGTGTAGGTCATGTGTTTTATAGTATTGTATTTTTTTACTTTACAAACTAATTGATAGAAAAAAAGTAAGGGTTCATGGTGTCACTTGGTCCTTGGGTCTCAGTTGATGTTGACTAAATGTTTACTTTGGGACAGCTTTGTCCCTCTGTGTTTGGTCCCAAAGGCAGCCAATGTGAAAGCTCTGGGCTCATACTCACATTCATAGTTGGTCTTATCTTGCATTTTTCTGCACGAAACGTTACATTATTAGCAGCCGCTATTCTCTACGTGTCACAGCTGGACTGTTTATATAGTTTAATAATAGTGTAACACTGCATACACTACCCTGTTGCTTCAAGCCTACGTTTTACCACCATGAAGAAAGAGAACTCATTTTTCCAGCTCAATATTGATGTCAAGTGCAATCTGCCTTTCTGAATACCTTCACCGGAGTGGCTTGAACTTTGCTCACCACGTTCTCCCGTCATCAGGGTCGGCAGGCCGATGGGAAGTACACACACATGCTTAGAAGTCCCCTGTGTGCACTAGTTAGGCCAGCAGAGAGGAGCGACAGGTGGGAGCATTGGTGGCGTCGTTAGAAGTCAAGGAAGCAGAACATCCGGGATGGCTGGAAAGAGACGAGGCCGAGGCAGCAACGTCCAGCAACAGCAGGCACCACAGAGGCAAAGAGGTGGCCCTCACAGGGTAAGTCCTGTTCTGTCAATATTTAATGTGTCTTCCGTGTCTATTTACACTTCAAATAATAATTAAATGACAACTTAAGAGTCCTGTAAAGGAGATTGTGGATGTATTAAATGGACATTACTTGGTGAAGACACATGAAATTAGAACATAGGTACAAGTGCGTGTATCAGTCATTTGTATTGTGTTTTTGTGTGACAGGCTTTGAATATTACAGTAGTAAACTTTTCCTCTGTTTTTATTTGACTTGTGCCTGTGAGTGGAGAGTTAACTGATTAGCTGGGTGGGACGATGTTGTCATGACTCATGTTTATGTCGTCAATATAGTGCAGCAATACATGATTATTATATTAAGTAAGCACTCGTTTTGTATGATTTAAAAATATAAAGAAAGGTAGATTAACTTAAAGTACTATATTATGATTTCATATAATCAGTTTTCATTGCTTTAAATTTATCAACAATTGTGACTCATAGAATTTAAGTGCATAATGTGCACATTAATATCTAACATTTTTGTTTTTGGAAACCTGCACTTCTTACTTGAAGGAGTGAAATGGGAAATGAGTGCTAAATATTGGGACTAAGGGACAAATATATACAAATTATGGAGAGCTAAAATTATTATCATAATAATTTCAAAGTTAAATTTAATAAGCAGGCAAAATAAGCATTTGAGCAGAATCAGAGTTCAAAGTACCTTACAACACAGCAGATAAAGACAGCTGAGTATACTGAATGTATCTACAACACAAAGTCCATTGTTACTTCAGAGTGGTGATTCACATCTGTCTGAAAGATATCATCAAAGCTTATCTGTCATTGATGATATCTTTTTTTAAAACAGATCTAGGGGTGGAAAACCTGCAAAGTTATAATACTTTGTTTTATTGAAGTGAAACTAAACAGCACTGTTAATATTGAAGTGCTTGGATTCTACATTCAGTCGCAATGTTGCTGTGTACTGTTCCCTGCACTGTTTTGTTTTTGAATGCTTGACTACCAGTAACACCCGGTTCCTCCCACACCGACAAATAAATAGCAAACTGGAAACTTTACAAATACTCTGAGAAGTGAATGCAAATATGAATATATGTACATAATGGCAGTTTGTCTAGATTGTACATTTTCTGTCACTTAATTCACAATGAGATAAGTAGAACAGGATAAGTTGTGTAGAAGATGGATGAATTGGAAAAATACAGCATTTGATCAAACCTCTCTCTCTCTCTCTCTCTCTCTCTCTCTCTCTCTCTCTCTCTCTC